TGCTTGCATCTAAGAGGTTATAATTCATTTGCAGAGTAGTTTTCATATCTGACACTAATGAGGAGAAAAATGAAGTAAAGCCCACCACTTCAAGGAAGAGAAAATCAAAGAAGACAGGGTTAGGGATTTCATCCTTTTCTTATTGTATATTCTATATTGATGTATTCATATTGCTGTAACCGTCTATAAATCTGTTTATAATGCTAAAATTCATCTATAATAATAATAAAAATCCGTCTGTAAATTCATCTATATTTGCAGATTTTCTAGTAGTGTTCATCAATGATCTATCCTTTTTAGTAAGAGGGGTTAGGGAGTGTCTCTAACCACATAACATTGCTAGGGGATATGGACTGATTTCCTAATTGTGGTCCTAAATCTAGGCCTATAAAGAATGCAAGGCGACAGTGTTTTTGAACACAGATTCCTTAGGCTTGAGGGTGTAGTTAGAAACGTAGTTTGAAGAGTCAAGTTCTACTATAAGGTTGTCTCTAGTAAATGACAAAAGATATGGTGATAATGATGAACAATAGAATGTGAAAAGTAACACTGTTTGAGACAAGGATAAAAGTGGTCTAAAATATACAAAATACTACTAAATCAATGAAAGTGCTCCTAAAAGGTGTGTGTATCATCCATTCTCCATGAGCTTTGTTAAACTCTGGTTCAATCCATAAAAAAGGTTACATAAGTACCATCCTTCAAGTTTATAACAACTTAAAAACAAATAACAAAGAAAATAAATGAGTGAGATATATATCAAAGAAAAATAAATTCAGAAAGAAAATAGAACAATGTATCACATACATATATCATATTAGAACAAATAATTTTTTTTTAAAAAGTAGTTAATGTGAATTGATCTTTACGATGCATAATCAATGCAAATGTCGATTCATAGTTTGATGAAAGTATGTTTTCATATTCATGGGGCTCTGAATTCAAAATAGTCCTATTTTTTGGAAAGTTGTTGAGAGTTTTACTAACAATTATTTTATATTTATATAGGTGGTAGACACGAACCTTTATTGAGTAATCTAGCTTCACCAACAAAATAAGTCTTAGGAGAAAATCATGATAAATGAAGCATCGCGTAGAGATTTTCAACCAAAGGTTTGGGCCTAGAAACACTCATAAGACTATAGATAAGTCACTTAACTCCATTTAATCCTTTAAACATCGAGATCCTTCATATCTTTCACCAATTGTTATGAATAACAAAGTGACTTCCTTAGAGAGTGGGGTTTTGCACACATTTACCTTCTGAATAGTTATGTTTACCTTGGTGTTTATATTCCATATCAACTATTCAAAAGCTATCATAAGAAATTGACAAGTACTTATACCAATGCTTCCTTGCATCCTTTGAGAGTTTTAAGCTTGCCAACTTTGTTTCTTTCCTTAAATTTTCAATATTATCCATTAAGAGTTATCGCTACTCATCTTTCACAAAATACAAGATTTTGCAAATGTTTACTTATTTACTTTAATCATTAGGTTCATTTATGAATTCACGGTTCAAGTTAAGACCGCAACCAAACTCAATATACTTACATGTCAATCCTCTTATTGTCTTATCACTCATTCACCATCTCAAAAAGGCTTAAAATTCACAAATGATACACACTTAGTATACATATGTTTATATGCATATTCTCAATCTTTGTGTTGTAAAAATTCATGCATCAAATCACAAATTTTTAAAGAATATCACATATTACAACAATAACCAATGCAACATATCCATTGTTTTTCATGTTTTTAACAAGAGCAAAGTAGTTTAATTCAAATGACTACTATATAAAGTAAATATGTAAGTTTATAAGATGATTACATATACTTAACAAATACACTAGACAACTCTTTACACTTAGCAAGTGCAAAAACAACTATATACAAATTCCTAAGTACACCAAACACAATATATTCATGAAGCATAGAAAGAAAACATTTAGTCACAAAGACAACTCTTGGTTTTCCAAAGTGTTCAATTAACAATTGTAGCCACAACTTCGATTTCATACACAAATAACGTTCATTCAAGTCTAAGTTCAAAATAGTTTATTAGTCATAAAACAATAGTCAAAATCATGATAAATTCACAAAAATGAGCAATTCAAAACTTATAAATCTCAAGTAGAAACTTTGAAAAAAAATCAATATATTTAAAAAAATCACATGTCTCTTAATACGTGTTCTCAAGACATTAAGGGATAATTTTCTTTAGCCTATTCCTTCTCATATTTTTTAGTTGAAATACCTCTTATACCTTACGTTTATGGGGCAAAGTTGACTTCTTTTGATATTTGATTGACATGCTTCAAATTTTTTTAAATTCCTAATTTAAAAATAAAAATAATGAATAAAGAATCAATTAATATAGCCAATATTTGCTAGTCAAAATTGTGAAAAATAATATTAAAATTGTGCAGAAAATTTTGCATATCAAGTTTGCATTTTAAATCCCAGTATGAGGTTTTATTTGCTCTTTATGTTCAAGGGCAACAACTCTTAACATGTCCAACCATAGATTATTGGAAAATTCTCCAAATACTAAAATAATTTATTTTTCCTCCTCTTTACTTTTTTTTTTTAGAAATTCTTCAACTTAAGAATTAGTGGTCATACTCGGCTTCATTGAAGTACCAATTAAAATAATTAATAAATTAAAATAAGTTTTTTTTTAAAAAAATAAATATTTAAAATTCTATAAATAAAATAATAGAAAATTACAAAATGACAAGTATTTAAATTTTTTACTTAAAAGAATAATACATAAAAGTAATTTGACTAACTTGAATTATAAACTTGAATGAATAAAGTTTTATTTAAAACAATTTAATTCCTTAAACATATGCTTGCAGTAACGTGCATATACTTACACACACAAAAGGAGTAAAAATGAGGATCTTATTCTTTCACTCAAAATTATGAATATTTACATATATTAGTTTTATGTAAAAAAATTATTTTCTTTATTAGAAATTACATAATTTTATCACATTCATCCAATTTTTTTTTCTCAAAATTTGTATTATTCTTAAATACTATGTTACAGTCATTTCTTATAACAAATTTGTTTTTAAGATTAGAATATATTTTACTCTTCTTTCTTTGTCACAATACTATAATATAAAATATGTATATCTTGTTATATTAAAAAAATTCTAACACAATATTATATATGTAAAGTACATAATTTTTTTAGTTTGTTGAAAGGTTGGTTGACAATGAATGATTGATTAAGTTTGTTAGAATGTAAAAGCTCTTAATTTGTAAAACTTCTAAAATGTATTTGAGACTGTTAAGATCTTTAAAAAGTTTATTAATTTCTTCTATCTTTAATCTCCTTTTGATTTCTTTAACTTTTATAACGATTATGAGTGTCCACACATAATAAAAAATACTCAATTTTTTTTTACATTAAAGTGAACTAGTTCTTCATTAAAAATACTAATTACTCTTTTTTTTTTTTTCAAGTGGTATGTATGAGAGGCTACATAGGATTGTGAAGGAGAAGGTTGGAAAAGTTAAAGAAAATTTAGAATGAGAGTCACGGAATAATAATTTTTCACTCACATTACTAAGATGTTAAGATAGAGTCCAAACTCTATCTTACAAGTACAAACTCTTTATTATGACATCATCAACTCCACTGCTATTATCCCTATTGTCATACCAAAAATAATTATCATAGCCAATTGTAACAATTCATGTATTATTTTTTGTCAAAACAATATAGTCATCCTACTATTTGACGAGATAAAAAATAGAATGAATTAATATGTAATAATGTGATTATTAATAAAGATAATTTTTAAAAATATAATTTATAACAATAATAATATTAAAGAAAAGCGAAGAAGAAAGATAATATGTAAATGAAATATTTTAAAAACATTGAGGATTAAAATAAAAGAAATATATGTACCAATATAAAACATAACATATGAAGTTGTTTTTATCACATAATTAATTATATATAGTACTTAATGTTATATTTTAATATTTTGTTACTATTTTTAAATGTAGATAGTGTTAGAGACTAAATTGATGAACAAAAAATAATCTTAAAGACTATAAAGATATTTAAAATTTTTTAAAATTAAAATACTTAACCATAGCAATATCAAAGACTAATTAAAAGATTTGCTTTATAACAATTATATTTTTTACACTTTAATATATTTTATTTGATTTATTAATCCGTGTTCTAATGAACATATTAAAAAATATTAACTAATACTTAAAATATACTTAAAAATATGTATTCATTATTTTTATAATTTTAAGATGATAAATTTTCATTTTTAATAAATAATTTTATATTTTTAACTTATTAACAAGTATCATTGTATTTTTAATTATTTTAAAAATATTAAACAATTAATAATTATAATTTTATTTTCAATATTTAATATATATTGAGTAAAAAAAAAATGAGATAATTAATAGAAAGATAAATGATATAATAAAAAATTAAGTAATAAATTTTTATGAAGTTTGAAATACTAAAATTTTTCTAATGTGTAAAATCTTAAACATAAAAGAAAAATACATTACATACATTTAAAAAGTCATATATAATAATAATTTTATAACTAAACATAATATTTATTATATTTTCATATTATCATACACTTTTTAATACAAAAATATTATTATATTTATATTGAACAAGTCGTATACTCGAACCTTCACTCTTTATCTTTATCTTAAGTATAAATAAATATATGTATTTTGAAAGTGCTTTTTAATTCTACATAGTTTTTTCTTTCTTGGCCTTGAAATGTGACACTATTCCTTTCTCTAAAAATTTACGTACATGTATAAATTATGATTTTTAATTAATTAAAATCGAACCTTCCAGTCTTTTAATTTCTATTGGTTTGACAATGAAAAATAAAATAAAAAACAGTAAATCAGTAATAAATTCAAAATATTTGTTACCAAAAGCACAAATCAAATCATTTGATTGAATAAAAGATTTCTAAAAAATGGCGTGCCAATGCTAAATTTCTAGTTTGGTCAAAATTAAACGTGAAGCTGGGGAAATATATAAGAGCGACTGGGAGAGAGAAGCAGCCGTTGAAAAGACGGTAAAGGTTGGAGCAGTGGGATCATTTCGTTACATTGCACATTACTCCTCTCCCTGTCATTGTCCCAGTCCCTGCAATCTAGGGTTCTTCGAATATACTGTTTCCCCGTTTTAGCCTCCGCATTTTCTTTGTTTGATTTCTCCGTCACTCGTCCTCCACTTCGATCTATCCAATTGAGGTATGTGCCGTGTTGCAATCCTCTTCTTTTTATTCTTTACTTCCTATTCTATTTGAACCTGCTGTTCAATTTATCGCTGATTTGAAAATTAACGCGTAGGTGATTTCGACGATTTAGGGCTTTAATTCGAGATCTTCATTGTGCCTCGCGTCGATAAAATCCATCATGACAATCGCCGATTCAGTTTTTCCGGGAGACAATGGGGCGAGTTGCGTACCACTTCCACCGGAGGAAGAAAATCGGATCGTATCCGAGTTGATCAAGGAATCGGAGCTTAATTTGAAAGAAGGCAACTTATACTACGTTATTTCTAATAGGTCTTAATCGTATCTCTATTATTTTCTTTTTATTTTATCGAATCTATGCAGTAGTATGTTGTGCGTGATGGTTTTGGATATAATTATCGTGTGAAAAATTATATTGATTGGCATGTGCCCCTTGGTCTTGGGGACTTTTTATACAGTCTATTAATTTGGTTCTCTATCACGGAGTGAATGGATCATGTTGTGCCGAGATATACATATGCATTTAAATATTTTATCACTTGTGCTGTTTGTGTTTGCTTCGATATATCTTTTCTTTTCCTTTACCTCTACCCTAAAAACACCTGGGATAGCTTTTTCAAAATCTTATTAGGGAATTGGTATGGGGTCGGTAAGGGTAATGTTACTACTATACCTGAGGTGAGTTATCAAATATCTGTTGATTGTAGGTTTTATGATAAATGTTTGAAATTGATTAAATACGATCAACAAACAATAAATACTTGACAACACTCACATTGGGTACCAGCTTTTTTTCTTTTTTCTTTTTAAATAAAAAATGGACGGGTACTGGAGTAATCATCATCTTGTTATTATTGTTGATTTTAATCGGATCCTTCTCAGAATGCTGAATATCTTGCTATAATAGAATGTCAAGTCATGTGGCGGCCTAGCTGCGACAGAAGTGTCATTGCAATACCATCTTGTGTAGCAGAGATAGCGGCCTGAATTGGTGGCACAAATTGTGGCTACATTGGCTAACAAATTTTGTTCCCTTTTTGTTTTGGATAGCCCGCAGATTTTTAAAGTGGTATTTGACATTTCATATATTTTCCCCCCATCAAAATGTAACTTGATTCAAACCCTTAATGCTTCAAAGAATGATGCACTGGGTTCCATCTCTGTTCCTTTGCACCACAAATTTGTGGCAGGTGATGCATTTTCTTGCACCCCTTGATTCCAACATATTTTCTGGCAGGTCTTTGTTTTTCTTCCTGATTATGTTCATAGTTCATACTTGCAGGCCTGCTCCTTATTATTGCTGCAACTTCTTCAATGATTCCATCTTCTATTCTCTCCTGTTTTTGGTTAATTATTAATTCCAGCCCCTCTTTAGTGCAGCCATGGCATCATCTCTGTTACAACCAGCCCAACACCACTTCACTACCTCAACCCCATATTGTTGTTATTAACTGTTAATTATGCCTTGGTTTGATGCCAATTGCATGCCTAGACAATGACTTTTGATTATTATTGACGATATATTATATATTTAATTTTTGGTATTTTTTCTTGAAATTTAAGCATTTATAATTATGTGTGTAGTATAAATTACATATTTCTTTTTTCCATATTCTTCGTTATAGTGACATCTATGGGATTGACAACTTTGATTCTTCATAAATCCCACAATGATTTTGCACATATGTAACTTGTGTACCAATTAGTCTATAAAGGTACATCTATGCATTTTTGTATTGTATTCTGATTCTGTGAAGAATGTCAACAACCAACTTCAACTGTGGTTATATGGCATCATTTGAATGTGATTTTTGAAGATTTCAAAAAAAAAATAAAAATGCTTACAACATAAACAGTTTATTTTATTCCGTGCTTAGTTTAGCTAATTTTGGAGAAATAATTGCTTGCTTTTGTTGTTTTTTTAACCAGAGCTTTTGAAAATGAGCAACTACTTTTCCGAAAAAACAATCTCAACCAAACATGCACTTTCTGCTATTCTCATAAGTTAGAATAAAAACAATGAAAAAAAGCTTTATTATTAAAGTGCTTTGGTCAAATGCTTATCAAAACACACCCACCCTATATTGTAATACTTTCCATACGCGCCCATTTTTAATCAAGTATTTTTTCCCACCCATGCAGGTGGTTTTCAAGGTGGCTGTGTTATGTTGGGCCTTGTGCTGGTATGCTTTCAACTGATAATCAATCTTATGATGGTCAGCATGCCCACACGGTTCACACAAAGATTGCAGATAGACCTGGGCCAATTGATAATTCTGATATTATTTCAAATGGAAATGATTGTGATAGAAATAATTTAGATATTCGTCGAATGTTGGAAGAGGGTACAGACTATGTTTTAGTTCATGAAAAAGTGTGGGAAAAACTGTTGGAATGGTAAGTTATTATTATAAATATGTATTTTTCTTTTTGATCTAGAGAAGAATAATGATCTAGTGATTTGTATGTTAACAACTTAAAAGAAAAGCCAGATAAGCATATATTATTTTGATTCTAGAGTCTTTGTAGAAAGATGTGTAAAACCATCTTTTTTTAATACATTTGATTAAGTATGCAAAGTGATATTTTGTATACACATATTTAGTATCACAAATTAAGTTTTATGAAGCAATTTAATAATAGGTTAGATGAACTGGTTTGGAATATAATGAAAGAAGAGCCCAAAACATGTCTTCTAGGTCTCATAGGCAATATGTTCTTATTTTGTTTCAACTTAAGTCTGGAAAAAGCTTCATGTTGCGGGGAAGCTGTTCTTGAACCTTATACATGGCTAGGTTTAATAATGAAATAGTTAACCAATGTGTGGATTATGGGAATGTCTTGGATTTGGGCATGGAAAAGTGCATTACATTATTTCAATTGGTCGGAAGATGTTTCAAAATGCTCAATTTGTGTAGTGTGTAAACAGAATTCTGTCTCACTTTTCTAGGTACAAAGGTGGACCAGCACTACCCAGGAAGTTAATTTCTCAGGGTGTTGTTGGACACAAGCAATACAGTGTTGAAGTTTACTTACTTAGTCTAAAGGTGACTGATGCGAGAGATAACAGTCAGTCAATTGTGAAATTAAGCAAAAAGGTACTGATTAATTTTGTTTTAGACTCTTCTGTTCTATTCAGCTTTGCAGTTATGTCAATGCGAGCAAAGGATACTGTTTTATATATTTGTATTCATGGTTGAGGAATGAGGAATGCCCATACAAATTTTAAAATTGGAAATGCATACCATACGATTAAATGATAATCTGTACATGTGTATACTGGCATCTTGACACTATGTTTCTATTCTGAATTAGCTCTAGAGAGTGTTTGGAAGAGTTTATAGAAATAACTTATAACTTTTATTTGTTTTTCTAACTTATTTCAATGAGCTTCTTGATATAACTTATCAAAATAAGCTATTTTCAATTTATTCCAATAAGATGATCAATTTTATGCTATAAGCTTGCATGTGATAAAAGCTTATTGAATAAGCGTAATATTAAGCTGGTTATCTAAATGCACCCTAGATTTGGTTGTAACATGATATGGTTTGATGATTGAATGTGAATGAACCACCATTCTAACTCTTGTTTTTCTAATGCTTTAATATATTTCAGGCTACCATAGGTGAACTTTATGAACTGGTGTGCAAAATTAAAGGAGTAGAACAAAACAAGGTGCTGTTCTTCTTCTTCATATTATTATTATTATTTATTTTTATTTTCATTTTTTTCATTTTTTTACAAATCTTACACTTCTGTCTGTCCTTTTTCTTTTTGTTGGTTGAAAATTATATTAGGCCCGTATTTGGGATTACTTCAATTTGAGAAAACATTCATTGCTGACAGTCTCAGACCAGACATTAGAGGATGCAAACATGATGTTGGACCAAGATGTGAGTAACCTTGAGTTGTATAGATTAGATCTTTTTAAGTATAATTGATTTCAAGCTGGAAATAGAACTACAAAGCTTTAGTAAGAGCTTTTGCCTACAAAGTGGATATTATAAAGTGCTGTAAGTATGGTTGTCCGTTAGAGGCATTAGAGGGAAGCTTATGTTGTCTAATGTATGGTAACATGGATGTCTTTAAGTAGAAACATAAACTCAATATTCTTGTGTCATTCTTTTAAATTCATGTTTAGGTACCTAGATATCCTAACATTTTGCTTGGTAGTTGTTATTGGTTCTTTTATAGAAGCTTGATGATCCTAGTGAGATAAGGCTTGGTTGTTGTATTGTTGTTGTTATAGGAGCTTGATGATCCTAATTCATCTCTTTCTTACAGATTCTTCTAGAAGTATCACTTGGTAGAGATCGCTCTTCTCCTTCTGGCATGGATTCCATGGGAAATGAATTAGCTTTGGTACCAATAGAACCTCCAAGGTCATTTATGTCAATTGCAGGGGGACCTACCATGTCAAATGGTCACTCAACTGGGTCTAGTCTTAATTCGTATCAGGGAAGTTCCCTAAATTCATCATTGACCAATATGGAAGGTAAATGTGATGTCAATAAAGGTGAAAGGGGTGGTTTGGCAGGACTGCAGAACTTGGGGAATACCTGCTTCATGAATAGTGCTATTCAATGTTTAGTCCACACACCACCTCTTGTTGAATATTTCTTACAAGATTACAGTGACGAGATCAACATGGACAATCCTTTAGGAATGCATGTATGTGACCGTTTCTATTGGCTTACACACACACATATATATTCCTGTGTTCTACAGTTTATAAAAGATTGTTTACCATGATGACTTTACTTTGAGGGTAGTTTAAATTAATTTTGAAGTTGTAAGATGTGTCTGATATGCAGGGTGAGTTAGCACTTGCATTTGGTGACTTGTTGAGGAAACTGTGGTCCTCAGGGCGAACTGCAATTGCACCTCGTTCATTCAAGAGCAAGTTGGCTCGATTTGCTCCACAATTCAGTGGTTACAATCAGCATGATTCTCAGGTTAGTTTCTCCAAATAGTGCTGTTATTATTTAAGAACTTTGTCTCCTTGTGTGACATTCATTGTAATATGTAATGCATTCTATTCACTATTCATTGTTTCTTACTTATGTGACACCATCATTGATTGCTTATTTCAACCTCCAATTGATAGTTTAGAGTAACTCTGTTTTTATATATATATATTTATTTATTTTAATTGTTGTTATTATTTTTTTCTTATGTAATTTACCTTTACTTTTGCTTAACTTGCATTTGTAGATATAAGAGTCCTACCCTTGAGATCCTAGTTTGTGCTATATTAAAGTTGAACTTGCGAAAAATTTGTCAATTGTTTGAATTTCTTACTGTGACAGCTGTGGTTATTTTAAAATTGACATACTAAATGTTAGTTAGAAGTCATTGAGATTCTGCCTTGTATGATTTTTGTGTGTTCTTCGAGTAACGGATTACTTTCTTTAGGAATTGCTTGCCTTTTTATTGGATGGACTGCATGAAGATTTGAATCGTGTGAAACAAAAGCCTTACATTGAAATGAAGGACTCTGATGGTAGGCCAGATGAGGAAGTTGCATCTGAGTGTTGGAAAAATCATATGGCTCGGAATGATTCATTGATTGTTGATGTATGCCAAGTGAGTATATGTCCATGTCATTTTATAGTCTCTTATTGCATGGATTATAATTGATCTGCCTTTGATAAGTTAAGTAGCTAAATGATTAAATTTCTGCCTTGTTATCTCTATGCTCCCCTCCCCCTTTCTAGCGTAAAAAATGGGAAAAGAGAAGAGAAGAAAAAGCAAAACCTGTAGTTATGAACTACTATATTTATATTTGTTTCACTCCTTGATCAATTTCGTGTGTTTCTATGCTTTCATTGAGCTTTTCCCTGTCTCAAAAAGTCTGATCTGATTCCCCATTCTTGATCTTGGTTTTCTATAAAACTTGACAAAATAGTTTCAACTGTCAAGTACATGCTGGTTATCTTTACTAAGTGTGACATTTTCTTCTTTTTTTTTTATGATAAAATGCTCAGGGTCAATACAAGTCAACATTGGTTTGTCCAGTATGTGGCAAAATCTCAATCACTTTTGATCCATTCATGTACTTATCATTACCACTGCCTTCCACTGTAACTCGAACAATGACAGTAACTGTCTTCAATTGTGATGGGAGTGCTCTTCCCATGCCATACACTGCGACAGTTCTGAAGCATGGTTGCTGTAGGGATCTTTGCCAAGCATTAGGCATGGCATGCTGCTTGAAGAGTGATGAAATGCTTTTGCTTGCAGAGGTAAGAGCTTTGCATAAAAGTTAGATTCACTAATGACTTTCCTACTTGGGTTTGGTTTCAGTGGTTGATGTTTTTTGTACATGCCTGTCTCAGGTTTATGAGCATAAGATTTATCGATATCTAGAGAATCCATTGGAATCATTAAATTCAATAAAGGATGATGAACATATTGTGGCCTATCGACTCAAAAGTGGAGGCAGGAAAACAAAACTAGAAATAATGCATCGATTGCTGGATAAGTAAGTTTACCTTTTTTTGGTGTATGCTGTAGCCTGTATGTTATACTCTTTACAGTGGAAGGGCACAAAGCTCTTATGAGTAATGGTTACCTATGTATGATAGTTTCCATAATCTAAAATGACATTACAGTGGCCTTTGTTTTGTCCTTAAAACTTTAGGGAAATGTGTTCTTAAGGTTCCCTTTTAACTGAAAGTATTCCTGTTGGTTAGTTAAATTCTGTTAACTTGAAAAATTTTCAGTTAAATGAATTTTCCCTAGTTTTTCTGTGTTAATAATCACAATTTTCATCTGCCTGTTAATCTCTTCCAGAGTACAATGGGAATGAATCATCCTGAGATTGTTAATGTTGAACTGTCTTTATGGCATCATTAACTCTGCTATTCAATCATTTTCTTATTATTGTGATTATAAACCAAACAGTAGAACATAGTTTTCCTATAATTTTTCTGCTGCTTTGGTTATTTTCTCTATTGTTGGGCACTTCAGAGACTACTGAATCTTGCAAGTGCCATTCAAGTTAGTACCTGCTACTCAGGGAAATCTGGATAGTATACATAACCATTTGCTTATGTGGCATTAGCATAGGGAAATCTGCCATAGCATGATTCCACAGCCGATTATAATAGAGATTTCACCATATTGTTCCTGGTGCACTGACTTAGAACATGATAATGCTTCAATTTCTTTATGACTGGTAGATTTGATTTTACAATTACCTTGATGTTCACTGGACAGTATGAAGGGTGGAGACAGGAAGCTCTTTGGAACCCCCTTGGTTACTTATTTGGTAGAAGATCCTCAATATGGAGCTAACATTGAGGCATCTGTACAGAAAATGTTGGGGCCTTTAAGAAATGCATATTCTTCTAGTTCAACTAAATCTCATGATGGGAAGGAAAATGGTTTCATCTCATCTGTAAATGATGAGCAATCAGACAACACCAGTACTCAAAGTGAATCAAGAAGTCTGATGATTGGCAGCAAAGAACAAGAGGGAACATCTTGTGGGGAGTCATCTTTCCAACTTGTTCTAATGAATGAAAATTCGAGCTGTGAGCCCATTGAGAAGGCTTCTTTTATAAAACCCAGCCCCCTTATAAGAGTCTTTCTTGATTGGACTGACAAAGAACATGAATTATATGATGCTAGCTATCTTAGGGATCTCCCAGAAGTTCACAAGACTGGGTTCACTGTTAAAAAGACTCGGCAAGAAGCTATTTCTTTATTTTCTTGCTTGGAGGCATTCTTGACTGAAGAACCTCTAGGACCTGACGACATGTGGTAAGACTGCTTCCATGTTTTAGAATGGACTTCATACTAGACTACTATGAGCTGTGCTTTGGGAGATATTACTGATTTTTTTTTTTTAATAAATTGACTAGGTACTGCCCTAGATGCAAGGAACACAGACAAGCTACCAAGAAGCTAGACTTGTGGAAATTGCCAGAGATTCTTGTTTTTCACTTAAAACGATTCTCATACAGCAGATACCTGAAAAACAAACTGGACACTTTTGTGAATTTTCCCATTCACAATCTTGATTTGTCCAAGTATGTGAAAAGCAAGGATGGACAGTCCTATGTGTATGACCTCTATGCAATCAGCAATCATTATGGTGGTCTAGGTGGTGGGCATTACACTGCATATTGTAAGGTAAGTTGATAACTTGTACAATGATATTTAGTTCTTCATGCTACCGGCTGTGATGCTAAGTCTAGATCCTGTAATTTTGTGAGTTCTTTCTGCTGTTTGAGATGTTTCTGTTTTAAACTATTTTCATTTGTTCTGCCAATTTTGCACAGTTGATCGATGACAATAAGTGGTGCCATTTCGATGACAGTCATGTTACTCCTGCTACTGAAGGTGAAATTAAATCTTCAGCTGCATATGTGCTATTTTATCAGAGAGTTAGAAGTGAAGGCCAGGTGGAAGGAGAGTCATCTCAGGTTAATCCAGGTTTTTAGAGATCATGATGAGGTTCTTATTGACCATGATGAGCTGTTTTGATGTTCGATGCCTGGATTATATGCTTAGCACGATGCAGAGCTTATGTCTTGGATAGTTCCTTTACTTCGCAGTTCAAAACTGCAAGGTAATATAAAAGAAAATGTTACGTATCCTAGCAGCAATTAAGCAAAAATGTCTTATGTGAGGCTCTGGTAAACATTACATGTTCAGTGGGAGTATCAGTTACTAATCACTACATGAATGATATCATTTTTTGAAAGAGAAATTTTGGCAGCCTATGAACTTAGATATTTCTGGTACTTCGTTTCATCGGTGGTTAAAACAGATCATCATGAAATCGTCGTCATTGCTAGTAGGGCGGCGCTTCTGTTTGTGAAAGAATTCATGCCCTCCTTCCATTATTATATTGTTAGGATGCTTGGATTACATAGAATTTGCGGGAGAGGGGATGAACAACAGCTGATTATATTTATTTATTTTTTAAATAATGGGTTACCCCCTTGCTCTTGTAATGTCTTTCTACTAAATCTCAGGTGCATTACCGACCATGTTTATGACTTGGCCGCACGGATCTTTTTGAGTATTTTTTAGATTTTTATCTGGTATAGGTCAAATTGAGTCAACGCCGCATTTTATTTTGATCCAGAACAGTGTCTTCAGTCCAATTGTTTTCTGTTTCTAGTTAGATTTCGGGTCTGCAAACTATTGAGTTCTATCCCTATTGTCAATTGACCACGACCGGTCGACATTTTCTGTTTGGTTCTTATTGTTCTTTTCTGCTGCTGGTTTCGTCAAGCTTTGGCAAGGTTTGCTTGATCAGCTAAAATTTATCCCATTTCTGTAGGCAACAAGTGACTGGTTTCCCACTCAAAAACCAATTATATTACTTCTTAATGAAAAATGTTTTAATAAAAATAATCTATGGTTAAAATTAGTTTTGACACAATTATTTTCAATGACTCAATTGATTTTACCTACCTATAGAACTATTTCTTTAAAGTCAACTGAAAGGTTTTTCACAATATTTATGTTGCTTCTTCATCTTCTTGCTGTCAGTCTAGTGGCCTTTTGAGGTTGGCTCCGTCCTCCTTATCAGTACGGTTAGTTTGAGAGAAGTGAATGACGGAGATAGCATTACTTATAGAGATATACAGTATATTATTACTGTTACTCCTTTTACTCACGTTCCAAACTAAATAGGTGCCCTCCCTTTGGTGTGTGCTGATTGTCCTTATATATATATATATTCCTTCTATTGATACTTGTAAAGATATAACAGTATATTATTACTGTTATTTTTCTTTCACTCCCATTCCAAAACAAACAGGTCCCTCCCTTTCCTCCACTTTAACAAACTACATGGGGCATTCTCCTTCCTTCTCTACTCCCATCCCTTTCATTAAATCTTTTCCTTCTCTTCCTCCTTTGAATCAATGATAGAGTAAGCTCAAATGTTTTTGAAGTGAAAAGAAATGCTCTGTTGACCATATTTATTTAACTTAATAGTTTAAATAATTTAATAACTGTTAAATGATCATTCTGAAACGTGTTTGTTTGTCATTTTTGAAATTAATATCCCTAAGGATCGTGTATGTGATAGTTAGGGTATTATGATTTATGAACAAACTTTGCGGGGTGGTTGCGTATGAGAATTGAATACCACAAAGATAGGGAATGATGATTTATGAATGCTACGCTCACGTTATTATGAAAGAATATCACAAGAATACCAATCAAATTGTTTCTATTCCCTGTAATACATAAATTGGCCCGGGGAGGGGAGCAAGGCTCCTGAAATGAAGTCCACGACAACCACCTTTCCTTCCTAGACTGGTTAGCGACATCACACCGTAAAGACAATGTATACCCCCTGCAAAATTAATGGAAACAGAGTAAAAGGTAACGAGAAAGTGTTAGCTTTCTTTTATCTTGCCAACTAGCAAGTGGCCAGCCAACAAAAAAGTGCCTGATGCTGTCTGTTTCCCAACGAATACTTCCTTTATACGTGTCATTTTTAAAAAAAAAATAATGGTGGAAACAATAATATAGTGAAAACTATGCTGCAAATTACTTAAGATCATCATTGCTAACCAAATCAAATCTTGATATACTATTTATGGAAAAAAAAATTTAATTTTAATGCAATCTACTATCATAACCTAGTGCAAGATACGTACAAAAACTATATTTAGATATACTATTTGTTAATGAGTAAATAAACATTTCTACGATAAAAAAATATTACATAAGTGTCAATATTGTACAATTTCATAAATTTTTACATAACTTCATTTTATTTTTTAAAGTTTGTGCCATGGTTGTTAACGATTTTCACATATAGAAATTTTTAAATATTTTCTTTGCAATTGGCAAGCCTTGTAAGAGAAGTGTTACTGTTGGACGAACCGAGTTGGCCAATCACATGGCGATGAAGTGGTCGTTCCTGGCTTGCATCCAAAAGTTACTACTCTTACGGCAAATTTCAAAATTTGAATGAAGACAATGGTGACGTTTGATGTGCGCTTTGTGACGACGGCGATAATAATTCCAATAGTAAAGGACAAGCAAAGTGAAAAATAAACAAATGTTAATAACAACGTAGCTTCTGATGTGGGTTTTATTTACCTTTACTCCGTTCTTGTTATGCCTTTACTTTTCTCTCCGTTGCCATGACATGGTGTTTTCTTTGGATTTTGCACCAAAATATCGTCAAAACTTCAAAATCATCAGCTCCATCGCCAACGGCAGCAGAAAGGATAAAGAAGGCCCAAGTAAACGGTATCTCTCCTGAGTCAAGCGAAACAAAACATCAACGTAATTAGTCACAAACGGTTAAATTTTAGATATTACTTTTTTCATCAAAGAAAAACATGTTTTTGCTCATTAAAAAGTCCTTAAAGGTAGCCCCAAAAAAGAGGAAGAAGAAACGACACAAACTTTGGGACTTTCTAAAGAATCAATCTGAACGCAGTTATATATTAATCGAGATTAAAAATAAACAGAATTATATTATATAGGAAAAGCCTATAAAATAGATAACACAGTCATATTCAGGGTTAAAAAAGACGTGAAATATAGATCCATTATTCTGTGATGCATCATTTGAGAGGATTCATTATCGAAGGTGACAATCTCAGTCCACAGCTGTAAGGTCAGATACACCACATCATGGACATACCTAAATCCAAAGTTATATTACAGACCCGCAACTCAAGTGTCGTGAAGCGAACTTTAATAATAATAACATAATTTACGAGCCTCCTTTCAATTAGCAATAAATATTCTTAGACCTTACTTATTTTAAAATTACATTCATCTCTTTTGTATGTCGTCTCTTCTTTTATTGTTTTAAAATATATTATGGGTATAATACGTACATAAAAGTAAAGAAAATACATTTTATATCAGAAAATATTGATGTGTAAAAATAATACACAAAATAAGAGATGCAGACATAATTTTCAAAGTGTAATTATTAATTATCCCAAACTGTAATTGTAATTGTAATACTACTAATAATAAGTAGCAGTAGCGGCATAGTGTATACTAACCAACGAGGAAGCGGAGGAAATGGACAAATAGCCGGTGGAAGATGCAGGAGGTTGCGGCGGCGTGCCAGCGTTGTTGGTATTGTTGTTAACGGCGTCATTTGAGGGAGGAGAAGAAGCTGAAGACAGAGAGAAACCAAGGGGATAAGCAGGGCTACAATCTGGCTTAAAGAGCCCGTAGTTGCGTTCGGAAGTTGGGCCTGGTTTCATGTTCTCGTTAAACAGAGCAAACACGTAAATGTTCAAATCGGAGTTGGGCCTCAACGGTGTCCCTTTTCTGTTGCTCATAGCCATCTTTATCAAATTCCCATTGTACTTCTTCGCATTCTCCAGGTTGGCACCGGCTTCGTCCATGTCCCCCTTAGAAGGCCAACCGGTTTCTGAGATGTGAACCGGTAACTTCCCGTAGCCCAATGAAGCGAGTGCTGAGTAAACTGCATCGATCTGAGCGAAGAGCATGTTATCGTAGTGGAGATTGGTGGAAGGATCCACCATTCCCTGGTTTGGTTGGAAGAGCACGTAGTCCAACGGAACCTGCTTCGGATTCGCCTTGTAGGCGAAGTAAGGGTAAGCGTTGATTAGAAAAGGAGATCCGGTTTTGGCTTGGAAGCTCAGGATGGGAGCCAGGCACGGAGCTAGGTCCGGACGGAACGCTCCTGCCGAAGGAGGATAGGAGGTTTGGAGAACGGCCAAGGAGTGAGTGGTTGTGACGGTTACTTCTTTGTCGAGGGCGAGATTGACGAGCGCGGTGTGGACGCTCTGCATGGCTGGGAGGAGATTCGATGTGAGGGTTGTGTCGTTGAAGGTGAGAACCTCGTTCCCTACGAAGATTGAGGTGATTTTGGTGGCTGGGAGGTAGGGTTGGAGGTTCGATTTTATCCATGCTTCGGCCTTGTTTGGATCTTTCATTCTTGATAGGTACTCGTTCCCTAGCCCTACCATTACTTCCACTCCTGTGTTCCCAAACGCTTTCAGCACTCGCGGATCTGCGTCGTACAGCTTCACTTTCGTTGCTCCGATCGACTTCACCAACGTCACTGCTTCGTCTGGTGTTGGAAGATTGTTCGCTATTTGACCGTAGTTTATCCCAATCGACTCTACGCTGGTTGCAAGGCCTGCATCACAACATTGCCAGTTAATTCCGATTCAGATTCACAACGACAATGGTTGACAATTGGCTTTACTTACCGGTAATAAGAAATAAAATGAAGCAACAAGAACAGCGCCGCATTGTAGAATGATCCATAGATCTTCCTTAAATTACTTAAATTAGGAATGGGAAGACAGCGAGTGAATGTGTAGAGTGTGGAGTGTGTAATATTGAATCAGTGGGGAACTATCCACACACAAACACAATCGATTATGAGACAGAGGTAAATAAACAAATAAATAAATAGATAAAAGAAAGATTCCCTATAAAGGATTGGGAAACCAGACACGCGGAAAGATAGCCGCAACAAATTCCATTTTTCGAATGAGATGCTTCGTCACCGAATACTAACTAGGAAGCCTCCTCCTACTGCTCTCTCAGATTTAAGAATTATATTGTGTTTTATGAGACAAGTAAAAAAATTAAGTGTATAAACTGCTTATCTTATTTTATTTAAAACGAATGTGATCATTTATAGTCTTAATAACGATTTAATAATCATCTTCTTGTTATTTTTTAATAAAGAGAGGGATAAAAAGTATGATGAGTGTAGAGGGGAGCCAAGTAATCCTTCCTCGACCACTTAAGATAAACATTTTCGAGACCCAACCATTGGGAGACCGACGTCTTTCATTTTGGATTGCATACCTTTACATCTACGAAACTTGATCAACACTCTTCGTTTTACTATTAAAAAACCAAAAAGCCTACGCTGTTTGTCTGTTATTGCGCAAAGAAATCAACGAATCAAATAAATTTTTAAAAAAATATAAAAGTAATAAAATAATTAGTGTATAATAAAAAAAAGTAAAGAGAGAACAAACCTCATAAAGGAAACGGGAAATATCATATTTATTATTATTGATTTGTTAAGATGGTTCTTCATTTTTCCATTATTACTGTACTCATATAATTGTATGGGAAAAATAAAAAATTTCTTTGTATGAACAAAATGTTGATATATATTTCAGCTATTTTATTTGAAAAATCTGAAGTAAAAGTTTAATATTTTTGCTCGTAAAATAATGGCTTTTGTATAGTTTAAGTGTACATTGAATTAAGTTCTTATAAAAAAATGATGAGAAAAGAAAACATTAATTTTTAGCCAAAATGAGTAAAATATGATAAAAGAAAATATGAAGTTTTAGTTGAAATAAAGAGATGTTTTTTTATTAATTTTCATTAAAAGAAAAAGTGAGAGTTATGATCATGAAAACATGATTTTTAGCAAAAATGTGACATTTTGACAAATTTTTGACAAGTTTATGAATGATTTGTAAATAAAATTATTAAGGTACAGGAATATTAAAAGTTAGTAAAAAAAAAGAAGATATTTTAATATGCTTTTTGAAAATATTGTCTTCATTTATTTTAGGTAAGATTAATCGAAGTTTGTCTCATCAAAATTAGAAAAGTAAAAAATCACAAATACAAAAGTTTTAAGAGAAAATTGAAGATTTAATTCAAAGATTTGAAATATCAAAACTAGTTATTAGCAGTTGAAAATCAAAGCACGTGATAAAAATTATAAGTGATATGAAAAATGTGTTTTAAAAAGTTATATTAAATAACTGCGTGTTTAAATAATTAATTTAAATAATGTCTATAAATAGTTTTTCATTTAACTAGTTAGGAGACAACTTTTATAAAAAAACACTTGCCTTCATTAAACTCTGTGAAGTGTCAAAGTTCTATTAATTAGATCTAATTATTAAAAAATTAACAGTTAAATATTAATTATCTCTAAAAGTTATCCACTTAAGTGTTTGCAATTTAATTTTAATTATTTACTTTAACATTTTATTTTTTTTCTTTTATTATTTTGTTAGTTTTTTTCTTCTACCTTTTGTGTTTTTATTTGGCTTTTTACATGACGTTAAATATTAAAAATACATTATAAAAGAATTGGTAAAAAAAATTAAAAGTCAATCTCAAATTTGTCAAGTTACTAAAATTCAAAATAATCAATAATGATGAAGTCTGGCCAGGCTTCAGAAATCGACAGGACCAAAGTCACTTCTATTATCTGTCGAGGTTTTCGTCCGTAGAAACTTTCTTATCCCATATAGTTGAAATCGGACAGTGATGTTCATCCTTCCAAGTTGTAGTTTTTGTAATATAACATTAAAAATATAGGTGATATGAATTTTAGGGCAATCTACGATAACTGCGCTTGGTCCGTTTCTCCTAAAGTATACCGTTTTTTGTTTTTTGTAAACCTTTATTTAGCCCTTTAAAAATATAAATGTAATTTTACTTTTTGGTTCCTGTATTATTAGAAGGATATCACAATCAACCTTTAGGTGTATAAATGATAATATTAAATGTTAAATAAGTATTGATAAATAAAAAGTGGAGATATTAATGACAATAGTAAATTTTTATTAAAAAATATGAGAATTGGGGGTCAACATTTTAAAAAGAAATCTAAACTACTTAATTTTTAAACTAATTAATAATAAATTATTTCTTACCTTTATCCTTCTTATTTTCACACATTCTTTTTTATTTCTCTTTCTTTTCCTATTTTATCATCTATTGTATTTTTACATCCCATGCGGGGCTTGGATAAGACTATGGTTTATCATATCTAACTTCATTTCTTGTGTTTAGTGAACAACATGATAGAATAACTTATTATGTTTAATTATGTTATCATATTTTCATAGTTTGATAATATAATTTTTTTTTTCTATCACTTTCTTAGTCACACTTTACAATCTTTTTAATATTTTATAAAAAAGTAATAATTTAAAAATATAATTTTATTTTTTTATAAAAATATTATATGAACATTTCTTGATAAAAAAAAATATTTCAAGAAAAGTATTTTTAAAAAATATTTTTATAACAAAACATTTTACTCATTTTATAAAATAATTTTAAATTTTTATAATTGATTTTTTCTTTAATTATAATTTCTTACCAAAAATAAATATTAAAATTGAAAAAATTGTAGTTTAATATCAAAATTTTTATATTATAGATACATACAAATATTTTTAATATGTGTATATATATATATATATATATATATATATTGAAAATTCAAAATTTTAGATAAAATTATTTTTAATACAAAAATAATATATTAATTAAATATAATTTATATCCTTATTCTATTTTTTTATAATGTTATCTGCTTTATTATCTTAACGTTAACAGAACACAAATTTATCATATCTTATATCTATTGAATTTTCATACATTATCATTTCTATCTCTTTCTTTTCTCATTTATTTTCATCTCTTCTTTATCATAATATCGTCAACCATGTGAATATGTTAACCTTTGATGCTTTCATACAACTTATTTGAGTTGCACTATTGAACTTAGATACCACGTATATGTTAAAAACTTTTTTTCAAGAGTATGTATACAAAGAGCGAGGCATTGACATCAGAAAATAGAATATGTCATACTCCTTCCCGTAATTATGAAGCATACATTTAGATTGACTACATACATCGACTACGCCCTTATTCACTAATACCGCATTTTAACTTAGTCCAAACTCTGATGCTTCAAACTTCATTAATTGCTTGCATACAAGACCTCACTTGTAAAAAAACTTACGTTAGCTTCAGTTTTATAAACATTGCTTGAAATTAAAGACCATTACTTCGTTAGAACTCGTTTGATCAAATGGCAACGCATATACTCAGACTGCAGAGAGGGAAGTCTTGCAAAACGTTTTTGACCATGATCATATTCGAAATCAGGATATCAATGGCGATGCTCAAGGAGTGGCGACGTTTTCCTTTGCAAGGGGAGCAATCTCATCACCGTCAATTCCAGGTTCGCTGCCAGCAACATCTAGGCTCAATAGCACCTTTTCCCATTGTTTGGCTGGTCCCTGTATCATAATCACCCAATAATAAGATAAACTGGGTTTCCCTCCATGGTTCATTCCTGAGAGGTGTAACATTTGTGCAGTGTGCTATGAACAAACCAAACGTTTCACACATCAGCAAGTTGCATGCTTACCTTCCATGAAAAATCTTGGGCCATACAGTTCTGGATCATCTCTTTCAAAGCTGGGGTACCGTAGGTTCGAAGGGCTCTCTTGACAGTAGTTGCTAGCTTGTCGACATCAGCTGGATCAACAGCTTCACACTAAATAAAGAACAACCCCAGTTGTAATCTGTCAGTTTCACTACTCCATCAAAATGAAACAAGAACATTATCTACTCTACTTACTTCTACGCTGAATGCTCCAGCGTGGAACCCAGTATAACCATCTTTTACAGTGTCAACAAGTCCACCAGTTGAGGAAACTATGGGCACCTGTTGCAAACATTTAATGTTTAAACAGTCAATCCTTGTTGTCAGAGGGAATACCAAAGGTGTGGATGGGAAGGAAATAGAGGGACAAATGTCTACCGTTCCATATGGCATAGCATGCAACTGAACTAGACCACAGGGCTCAAATCTACTTGGGATCACTACAAAGTCGGCTCCAGCAATAATCTTGTGAGCCAAGGGACTGTTGAATTTTGCTACCCCTCTGGCCTTGTCAGGATAGATTTCCTCTAGTTTCGCAACTTGCTTCTCCATGATCTTTTTGCCAGTTCCCTTAAGAAAAATAGTATATGAAATATGAGCCATCAGCATAACTTTGTTCTGGTACCAGAATCAGTATTATGGACTAAAATATAAGAAGACATTACAACAACAATCGAACCAAGACGCTTACAAGAACTATAATCTGAACATTCTGGTCAATGAACTTTGGGATAGCTTCTACAAGAATATCTGAACCTTTCTGCTCTTCAAGTCTACCAATGAAGCCTATCAGAGGGATGTTCCTGTCAACAGGCAAGCCAACCTCTGCTTGAAGGGCTTCTTTCAGCATAAATTTTGCTTCAGTGACCTAGGAATGAAACTTTCGATGAGCACGGATTTATATGACCCATGTCTACGAGGAAACCAAATTTAATTGAAAAGATAATGCTTACAGTTGTTGCATCGTAGTGTAGACCTATGAATTTATCAGTTTGCGGATTCCACTCTCGATTATCCATGCCATTCACGATACCAGTGATGCCACGTGCACGAATTATGTTGTCCAATTCCACACCTCTTTCTTCTCCAGATATAAGTTCCTGGGCATAGTACGGACTCACAGTGAGTACTCGGTCCGATTCTAATATTGCAGCCTTCATCCAATTAATTTTCCTTCCCTTCACAGGTTTATCATGCCTGAAAAATGAAACATAAGAAATATAAACATGGTTAGCTATATAAAGAAGTTTATAAACTATAAAACAAGTCTTGTGTTGATATGTTAAACAGCTAACGAATGTCATACCCATCAGTAAAGTCAAAAGAGCTCCTGAATTCGTTAGGTAAATTCAGAAGAGAGAAGTCTGCAAAGGCATGCCTACCCTGATAGGCTATGTTATGGATACAAAATGCAACCTGCCATGATTGACCAAGGAAAGTCAGCTTCCCTAAAAAATTGGTTTCATGGACCCAAAGAGTAAATAAAACCTCACCTTCGCGTTTTTGTAAATGCCCCTGGACTGGTACATTGATTTCAAGTAGCATGGGAGGAGGGCAGCGTGCCAATCATTGGAAATGAAGACAACATCTTCGCCTGAAGGAAGACAGAAAAAGCTTGTAAACTTGTAAGTCTTTTTCAATTCAAGATTTAAGATCAATGAATAAACCAGATAGCCATACCATATGTTCCCGAAAAATATTTGCTGTTGTTTAAGTTCAAAACCCTTGGAGCCTCAAGTGCAGCCTGAAAGTTGTTAACACATTGATAATGTCACATAAAGGAATTGTAATTCTCATTTCTCAAATATCAAGTACAAACAAGTACTTTCAGCAAACATTGAAGTCAATACAACTCCCATCTCATAAAGCAAAACGGGGATTCAACAATGTCCTGAGATACATGTCTCAAGTTCCATTTGTCTGAGAAATTAAATCCACTGAAACACAGAGGACAGGTAATTTAGATTCAGAGGACATGGAAATTTGAGCAATTATCGAGGCATTGGCTTCTGATCAGCAGTTTAGGAAAAGAATAACCACAGTAAATATTAACATACGAACTTTGGGCTATGTACTCGACAAAAATTTATATAGGGAAAAGTATAAGGCAATAAGGTACCTGGCACAACAAGCTGAATCTAAGTTGGTTGTCTGAGTAATCCAGCCCTGCCCTGGGGCCATAGAGTTTTGACTCGGTCTTGCCCCATACCTTTCAAAATCAAAATGCAAGAAAAAATCAGTTTAACTTTAAGGTGTCACACTGTTGTCAATCCTATAAATTAAAAATCCATTTTTGTAAATGGTTGATGACAACAAAAGCATAAAACCTTCTCAAGGAAAACTGGGTGATCCACAAAAACACGATCAACTCCTCGCTTGTAGGAGTGAAAGAAACGAACAGTTTCAATTCTATCTCCAACTCTGACCTACCACACCAAAAGCAAAACGGATAAACAAAAAAAAAAAAAAAAAACAGTTAAATAATTAACCAGGGATAGTTCCTAGATTTATACAGATACACGATGAAACCAAAAAAGTTACCTCCACCAACACACTAGTGTCCCATGCATCCTTGTATTGATCGTAACGTGGTGACACTGTCATAACACGGTGCCCGTGTCCCTGAATTAATTAGCACAATAACAGGGTGAGATAATAATGATAATAAAATAAATAAATTACACTTTATACATTTTTTATCATTGAACCCCTTTATCCATTATTTTAACTTATTAGCGGTTCGGTTTTTAACTGTTATTATATGATTTTGAACTTTAATCCAGATTTTGGGAGATTTATTCAGTGATAAAAAAGTATAAAATTAAAAGGGATTAATTGTAATGTATCATGATAATAACGATGATCAAAATAAAAACACGTAACAGAATAAACTCAATTACGATAATCCACTCACGGCCAAAGCTGGTGGAAGTCCTCCAAGAACATCACCAAGTCCCCCAGTTTTGCTCCAAGGTGCCACCTCAGCTCCCACAAAGATCAAGTTCATCCCTGTGCCACACACGATCTTCCTCGAAACCCCGTCACGCGCTGTTTTGTTACATCTCCTTGAGGAAGAGGCTTTGGCTGCATGCGTGGTTCCCACGTGCAGCTTGTTGAGAGATCTTAAACCATCATAAGTCAATGCCTTTTTGTTGAGAGTGATCTGAGCCGAATTCACTTTGCCGTCTGTTCTCGACGCTCCACGGTGATTGAGAAACGCGCTTCTTGACACCACGTAAGAGGCCGTTACAGTTGCCATTCTCTATATTCTATACCTTCTGCATGTCAAACCAAAATTCATTTCCTACTCAGAATAATGACACTTATTGTTCATTGATCAAGAAACTTAATTAAGCTAAATAAATTAAAACAACACCGTTAGTTTCTAGCATAGACGAGAAAAGCTTGCGATTGAAACAAGTGAAGGAAGGTGTAGTGTAACGTTAATCAGAGTTAAATAAATAAATGAGAAATTAAACCGGGAAATCAGGATCTGAAGGTGACGTGGGTTTTGAATGATGAGAGGGAGAGGAAATCGCAGTGTGTGTGATCATTTCTTAACAGTAATTAGTTAGAGAGAATGTTACAGTTACTCACCGGTGATTTACAATCGCCGGTTAAAGGAAGATGAACCGAAATGGTGCTTAGTGCAGAGTGAGTGTGGAGTGCGTGCCTGCAATCAACGAACATCATGTGAGTGAGTGAGTGGCATTTGTAGCAGAACGGAGCCTCCCTACTTGTCCAACTGTTTCTCGACACGTGGCAGTCAGAGAGAGATTTGTGCGAGAAATTGCGTTTTGAGATCAAAACTCGTCTTAAGAATTAAGAAGATTTTTTTCTCGTTTTGAACCCCACTTTGTGTTTCTATTATGTGCATTTTCTGATTGTGGCCTTGATTGAACTTTAACATAGATTATTAATACACGTAGGAGCCAGATGGTGTTAAATTTGTTGACAGTGGCTGTTGAGGTTTTATTAGTAGTTGAATGAAGCAACGGCCTCTAATTTTTCATCATTATTATTATTATTTTCCTAAACTGTGCCGAGAAAGATAATCAAGTGGGAAGCAGAAAATACCAACAAACGTGTCCCACCATGCGATATCGAACAAATCAGTAGGTCCACATCCTAGGAAAATGAAAAACATGCACTGTGGAATGCTCAAAACCAAAGTTTCTTATTATTTAAGATATATAAATATACTTAGAGTTAGGTCCATAGCTGGCACGATATCATTTTTAAAATTTTTTTAACACATTTAAATGTAACAAACCGAAATCACGTAATCTTGAATCACACGATAGTTTCTCCTCTACTAAAATGTAACCTTGTATAGTTGGTAATAAAATTAATTTACTTCAACGTCATTTTAATGTTGAAATATTTTGTACCCTCTTCTAGGATGTGTGCACGATCGGTCCTGCCTGCTGATTTGATTCATAAATGTGAAAAGTAAATTAATAATGGATATTTAATATATTAATTAGTTTCCATAATATTATTGGATAGAATCAGGATCACTACTCCCTTTATTTAATCTTTTCACTCTTTAATAATGTTATTTTGTTCATTTTTTTGTTATTCTTTTATAAAATGAATTAGCAATTAATATTTTTTAATTTTATCCTTTATATTTAATATTTATTTAGTAGAAGATCATAAATAAATAAGATATTAATTCTAATAAATAAAAGATATATAATACAATAAAAATATTTTATAAATTCAAAATATTAATCATTTTTTAAATTTTATGTAAATCTTAAACATAAAAATAAATCAAACATGTGATTATAAAAGAATGTGAACAAAGAGGTACATGATTTTAAATTACATATATATAATATTTTAAATTTAAATGGGTTTTTTTTAATCAAATTTTTATTCTAATTTAGTGGATGCACAGTCAAGGATGCAAAATAAAAGGAAAAAATATGTAGTTTTTATTTTCACGAAAATTAGTACGGACAGGGTTGCTCCTGAAGAACAAGAAGGGACAATAATTTGTAAAACAACTCGTCCTGTACGTGAAAAATGAACGGTCGAGGAGGAAAGACAATGACAAGACATCAGTTTGTCATTACATGCTTAAACTATTTATTTGTATTTATAGTTTTGTTTTAACTTCATTTAATTCATGTGATTCAAAATTTTATATATACACGAGAGAGAGCAGTAATCTACTTATTCTGATAAGTGTTACTTATTTTACTAATTTAATCGTTAAATTAAATAATAAATAAATAAGACATTGAACATTCAAAAATTTATAATCTTATGACAAAATTTGTTTATTTTTAAAAAATATATTATATGTTAAAATAAAATTATTTAATTAAATATTAATTAAATTTTTTTAATGATAAATTTTTTTAAGTTTATTTTATCTATTAAAATTTTTTAAATTAATAGTTAAATTGATAAATTTATTATCTATAAAAATAATTATTAAATAAAGTGAATTAATTTATACTTACGCAAATAAATTTATTTATCATATAAACATAAACATATATTGATATTTTTAGACTAAGTGAAAAAGTTTGAGCTTGCAACTTTAGTTCATGATCAAGGAATGTTAAACTTTAATGTTTAAGAAAAGAGAATAAGGTTAGATAAAAGGAAATGATAAGGCTAGAAAAGTATTATCTAACCAATAAAAACACATTTAGTAACCGATAATAGTAGCTTTTAATAAAAAATAAATAATTTTTTTTAAAAATTAAGACTTAAATATCTGATAAAAAATTTAAAAAGTAAAATAAAATAAAAATATATATTATATTATACGCATTGTTTTTATTTTTGTCATATAATATATTATAAGACAAAATCTTTTTATTATAAATTTAAAAACTCTTACACAAAATCTAAATTTTTTATTTAATTTAAATCTATCATATTATAATTTATTATTTTACTAACCGTTAAATTTAAATAAATAAAAGAATCAGATTGAATATAAAAATTTTTAAACTTACAATGATGTAAAAAGATCTTTCTCCATCCAAGTTAGTACTTTGTTACTTATAAAGTACTTTAAAAATTAAAACATAAAAAAGGACAAAAATCAAGAATTAATGTAAAATTTTTAAAGTTTAATTTTTATATATTAAACTCTACAAGTACCTATCATTACTTGCTAAGACTTCTATAATTTTTTACCCATATTTTTAATATCACAATTTTTTTTATTATTTTAACAACTCAATAAAATTTATTCCAATTCAGCAACTAAAGAAAAAATAAATAAACTTCACACATTTCACTTCATACTTTTATATTGAATTAAACTTAACAACAAATATTTGAACCGAAAAATTGTAGATCGTAATTCTATAACTGATCCTGTTTTCCAATCATCATTAGATAAATAAAACTAGAATTGTCCGGCGGGCACAAGTCCCTGCAGAGTCTTCTCTGTTTATCTACAGAGACATGTCAAACAGAACACAAAATTTTGAGAACTACCATCTCTTGTTCGATGTATTTTTCAAAATCTAAAGGCTAGAAAAAGATGATATACAAATCAAACAAAAGGGTAAAAACGGAGAGGGCAACGGCGCCTAACGGTAAAAAGCACAAACTATAGAAAAACCTGAATATTGATGTTATTCCTGCAGCACGATAAGCTTCAATGACTTAAAGATACAGTGTCCCTATTTCCTTTTAAAAGCTGCCTCAAATGGTGAAAGAATAATACCCTTCGTCCATTTCTCTTGAACCAAGGCTGCTAACAAGACCCAGAATAAACAGTTGCTCGAAAGCAAGAAGTCACATATTGGTTTCTAATTCTACTGCCAGCAGGAATCGGCTGGCAATTTCTCAGAGCAAAAAGCATTGTGTCACAATCTCCTTCCAATTTTTGCAAATCTTCGGGCTACTCCAAATATAACTGCCTTAGTCAGTAATCCTTGGTCAAGAGTGCAGGCAACGGCAATGGCTCCACCAACAATAAGAATTTTAGGTATGCTCCTCCCAACCGGTTTGTCAGATGAATCCTGATTTTCACTCTCCAATAAGTAACTGGTCGTGTTTTCCAGAGACCTCAGATAGTCCACAGATACTTTAGTGTTGATTTTAGCAGCATATGCACAGCGTGACAATGGGGCACCGGAAGCCCTTTCTTTCTGATATGTCCGTAGTCCAGGATCAAACTTCTTGACAGCTCCCCACATACCCTGTCGAACTCCAAGCTTAGCAATTTCCCAGGGTATGCCCATATCTTCGCGGTGAAACAATAACACTTCACATGAAGTCAGCTGGCCATCTTTTCTTGATTTAACTGATCCACACAAGCAACGGATGCCCATTAGTTTCTAATAATCTATTATCTATAAAACCACAATTAATGGAAACAATACAGAAAACCCATGGGCACAAAACAGAAAATCCCTTCAAAGATTTCTTCGGCTTGCCATGCTATATATCCCACTTTGAGGAAAATAAACAGAATTTGATTATGCTCTATTATTTATATGAAACGAAAATCACTTTAATTGAATCTCAGATGGATTCCAAATTTTAAGAGAACTATCTCTCAAGTCTTGATGGATAATAAAAGGGGAGTAGATTCTAAAAATTAGTTCCAGTTAAGCAGGAGTAGACAGAACATGGAAAGCAAGTTCAATAAGATGGAAATTTTTGGAGATAAGAAATAAGGATTGTATCATAGCACAAATTGCACGTTTCAAGTGTAATTTGAGACCACCCTATCAAATTTCTAATGCATATCTATAAGATCAACATGATGTATGGTAGTAAATTTTGGCTAGTGAAGTGTCCAAGAGAGAAAATTAGTCCATGCAGCAGAGATGAGGATGCTGAGCTAGATGAATAAAACACAAGAAAAGATCAGATTAAGAATGATATGAATGTATAGAAATTTACATGATGGAAAAAACTAACCTAAGGTGGTTTGGTTATTAAAGAAGACCAAAAGCCAAGAGAGGCTCCAGTGAGAAGAGTGTGAAAAATGGAAGCTAGCCCAATTAAAGGGAATGAAACAATACCTCAGAAAATTTTATGAGAAACTATTAAAAAACCTTGCTCGAAAAGGTTTCAGTTAAATTAAGGCATTGAACGGTCCATTTGAGGTGAGATAAAGGCTTGGTTGTTGACAAAATCACCAAGATAGCTTGAAAATGTCTAATCTAAACCATATGTCAAAGGTTGAATGGGAACATCAGGTTCTGAAGTAAAGCTTTACTGTGTCTCTGAAAACAATTGAATTTTTCCAAATAAAACATATGAAACCCTTCTCTGGTTGCTCTCAAAATAAAATATTTATAAAAGGAAAAAACTTCCACCTCCCAGCACTCAGTTCCGTACTAAAATATTCCAGTCTATATTTTGGTAGGCTTTTCTAAAATCTTAGCTTCAAATTTTAGTGAACGCAAGTAAAATAAAGTGTAGTTTCAACTTTCAAGAACTAAGCTCAATTGGTAGTTACCTGCACGAATACACCAGCTTGAATAATATAGATCAACCCGTTTAGGTTTGTTGTGCCTTGGCATGGATGAGCAAGGTACGCCCTGAAGAACCAAAATAGTCTGTAAGTTGATATCACAAACTGCTAGAAGTAAGACATAAAAGATCCTTTCGAAAAGAACGAGGAAATCATCACAATCATCCAATGCTTCTCTCTCTCTCTCTCTCTCTCTCTCTCTCTGTGAGATGGGAAATAGCTTATTTCTTTTCAACAACTTCAGTTCAATCAACATTGCTAATGACTCAAAAAAAAGTCTAGCGCAAAACAACCATGCAGTGTACCTCAAACACAAACTTCTACTATAGTAACATTGAAATCAAAGCTGACGAAAAAGTCAGCAAAAACAAGCTTGTTCACTATTCATGGACAAAACAAAATAAAATCATATCACAAGACAGTACCTAAGACTCCACAATTGGAAAAAAGAGAAAGGCATTGATAATGAATAAATAGCATACCAACCTTGGTTACACAATAGTAAGCTTGTCCAGCATCCCAAATTCGGCGACCTATGATATACTCTCTATCACTGCAAAAGAAGGGAAACTGTAGCAAAGCAAGAAAAACAGAATATGAGATAATGCAATAATGAAGTCACAGCAATACAAGGAAGCCAAGTACTAACAGCAATAACTAACAAACTAACCTTGCGGACCCAGTGCACTATCATGGTTCCAGTGATAGGACAGTCTTGAATGGTGGAAGCATAAATAAGCATGTCGTCCCATTTCAACCTGAACTCATCGTCCCAAAAGAAATCCCTAACCAACTCGGGACTCGCATCTTCGAACACCGTTCTGCTGCGATACTGAGGAGGTCCAGTCTAAGAAACAAACAGACAGACATTAATCAAAGAGTGCATTCAAATAAACTTGAATTAAACGAATATGAAATGAAAGGGCACCTCAGGATCCCTACGCCATGCTTGATAGGTCATGGTAGGGGTAGAACGGTCCATCATCTGAATCCACGCGGGGCCTCCGTCCTTTTCCTCCACCAGCTTGGACAAGTGAAGCAAATCATGTTCCGTCACAACACCATTACTGGAAGACTCTTTCCCAGTCTCACTCGAAGCGGAAAAAGAAGCGGTGTCGTTTTGGGGGTGGGAATTGTGTCCCGACCAAGGGAAGCGAAAGTTGAACCAGTCCCTGGGGTGGATGGCCCATTTGGGTTTCCAGACCCAACCGACAACGACGCCGAAGATAACCGCAATCCAAAGCGGAGTTATAAAGACGGCGAGGTCACGGAGTATCTGGAGAACCATATTTGTGGGGATTTCATAGAGAGCCATAGGCACCAGAAATTGGGGGAAGAAGGAAAGGAGGAGATAAATAAGTATTGATGAGTCAGAAAAAGATATGGGCGCGATCTATGCTATGTGGATTCATCAACCATACGGGACACTCGATTGCGGACCAATAAGGATAAGGATTACGAGATAAGCGGTCACAACACGCCTTCCTTCGATTATCGTAGGTCCCCTTCTATATTCATTCTTCTTATTATTGTTAATTTGATAACATCAACGATTCTATTAAGTTCATAAGATATATTTATGATTTTATTCGCATCGTCTTTTAAGATTCATTCATGTAATAAAATTTTGTTGTTATAATATATTTTTATAATTATAATATGTTATAAAATATAATATTCTAAATTGATCATATAATTATTAAAAAATTATCTTTGACTATTCATACATAATTATATAGTAAAAAATTATTCTTTTCATTTTTTGATATACATACACATACATGTCAAATTTTACATAAACAAATGATCTAAACTGATTGAAAATATCGACCGGTTTGGGTTTTGTAATTTTATTAAATGATAATCACTCCTTTGTTTGACTTAGCTAAATAACGTGAAATAATCTGAAGCTTTATCTTCCTATAATCAAATGAATCACTTTTTTTAAGATATTATTTAATCCCTCACTTGAAAATCCGTAAGAAAATTATTAAAAGAAGTTTTTATTTTATTATTTAGTGATAGTACATAAATTAAAACTTTTAATGAGTAATAAATATTTTGTTTGAAACAAGTTTATTAATGTTTTGATTATTCTTCCTCTTTGAAACATTTAGAAATTTCTATGGCATCGATGTCTCGTTAATTTTTATAATTAGAGCTTTATAACCTTATTAAATAAGTTTCTTAATATTCAAACGTATTATTTTTATTATAATTTACCGAAAATTCATTTGTAAAGTTTATTTCAATTCAGATTTTTTTAACCTCTAACATTGTCTTAATTCATCAAGTCCACACTTATGATTATTTTTGTATCCGAAGTTGAGATAATTTGCATGACATTCCCACCAACACATTAGCCTGATTTCTTTAATGACAAATGTAATTCAACAGTAGCATTGTGAATCAAAGTATTGAACTATCACTTTAGATTTCTATTTTGTTTTTTGTAACAATTATCTCTTTAGATTTTGTTGACTAGTAGAAAAAATGAGAATTTCATGGCAATTGCTATCGTGTATTTTCAACATAAAAATGCAAAGCATGGTTGCGAGACTATTGTCCTGAGCTAGACATAGTATATTGCATTCTCGAAAAGGAATTCAAAATACTTCGAGGAAATCACATTTTCATTACACTCCTGAGAATCACATTATTTTGAAATTTAAAAAAATGGCATATCATAATTCAAATAGTAAATGTTGAAAATAAACATAACGTGCGCATCAAAATTTAAGTAGGAAAAAAAATTGATACAAGAAAAACCCAGATTTTAACATCCCCAACCGTAAGATCTATAAAATATCCCTTAAACAAGATAGGAAGCACGTGAAGAACGTTGGCCCAAATTATATCCACACAATACAGTGAAAATTTACAGGAAAAAACAAAAATACATTTTAGTGCAGAACTATGGTTCTGAAACTATTAAATGTACTGCTGTCCTCTCCCATGTTGTAAGGGACGGACCAAACTCCAATTGTCAAACATTCATCCAAATGTCATCTTCATCAACCAGCTTGTAGGCACTAAAGTGGTTGACCCTGATCTTCCACTCTCCCTTTGCGGGATCATATGATACAAATTCAGCACCTTGGTCCTCAGCCTTTCTCTTGAGCATCTCTTTGTATTTCTCGATCTTTGGCCCTTCTGTATACTGTTGTCCAGTTTTTTTATCAAAACATTTAATGTTGAGGAGTGTTACCTCAGCAGGCTTATTCAGCCCTTGTCCAACAGGAGGTTTCTTAGCATCATCCATGTACACAATCACCTCCCGATTGTTAAACTGAATGAGGGTCTCAAGATCAAGCCCTCGTACATCTGTCTCACCCAAAAATCTGATGCTGCCATAACCTTGCCTTCCAACCACAAAGTCCTTGACGTGACTGCAGAATCCTGGTTCAGCTCTTTCCTTGGCTGCCAGTTCATGAATTCGAGGCAGTGTGTAGTAATCAGAACGCCGCAGTTTTGGCATTAGTGCCTCAACGTCAGCTCCATGTTCATACACAATGGCAGCCTCACCAGCTCTGTGCCCGCTGAGCGTCTTATACATGTCGGCCTTTTGTGGAGAATGCTCTTCATTACTCCCATTGGATGCTTGCTTTGTCGTCATAGGCTGAGCCTGCTCCTTGACAAGACCATTTTCTGCTGCAGATTCTGAAATCATTTACAGAAATTATGGCCCAGGAATTAAAGCACAAAAATGAAAGAAAGGTAATGAGAAACATTTAATTAATCCACCAATTTGAAATTAGTTTAATCATATAGTGATTTAATAATACGTGCATTACCATCAACGTCAATCAGGAATGTCATTGCAACAAATGGAGTACAACCAGTGTCAATAAATCCAGAAATTGTTATTACGGAAGATAATAAACAAGAGCTATGCTTTATAACTAATTTATATACTATTAATTCGTAAGGAGCACTTACTCGCTTTATCCTCTGAGCTCGTCCTATCAGGAGGTGTCATACGTGCCTCTTTAGAAATAACTCCTGAACACCACACATTTAAAAAATAAGGGCTTGTTTGTCTAAGCCTTTTAAGGTAATTTTTTTTTTAACTAAAATATATCCAGAAATTTTTAGATAATTAGATGAGTTCATTTTTTAAAAAGGCTAAAACTAAAAAGAAAAGGTGTTTTCATGCTTGTCTCATGTTTGAGAGAGTAACTTTTGAATACACACAAAAAAGTAACTATTTAAAGTACTTCTTTCAAAACTTCATTTAAATGTTTCATAAATAAAGCAGATCTGCTTGTGCTGTTACTAATATAAAAAACAGTAAAGTGTGGAAAACAAAGTATGTGACGAGACAAAAGGACCACCAACACAGTACAAAATGTGAACCAGATACAATAATGCAGTGTTTTTCTTTTCTTTTCTTTTTATTTTGGAGGGGGAAGGGTGGTCATATGGGATTAGACAATACTCATCCCAAATATTTTCAAAAACCATTAGAACTGGTGCATGTTTGCAATGCCCTACAGCAGAAATAGATTAATTTCATCATAACAAACACTGGAAAGCGCAAACCTTGGGATGGCACATCTTATCTATTGAATACTCTACTACAATTCAAGTAGTAGCCTAGAATAAATGCAATCAAGATCTTACCATTCTCATTCACTGATATGTATCTATCCCTAAAAGTCGATGCCTTCTCAGAAGCCTTTCCAGGCCACTGCTCCATGGGACAAATGATCAACGCCCTTGGGTTTTCCCTAGGAATGAACAGAGCATCAGCCTTAGGTGTGGTAGGAGTATCTTCGTCATCACTAAAGAATGGAACCTGCAAGAGCAATGTAGTTAAGACAACCCTATCCAACTCCATGAAAGACCAAGTTATGGTACAAACACTGAATGATAAAGATAACAAGTAAAGCTACAAACACTCACCTTTGGACCATCTTTCTTAGTATGATATTTCCTGACAGGAAACTTGATTCGCCTTTGTGAGAGGTGCCGAGATGTCAATAAAGATGATATTCTAACAGGAGCAGGTTTGTCTAGGGCCTGAAATGAAGTGTCATCTTGAAACTCATTCACCTTTTTGTAAAAACCATAACCACTCTAAAACAGCATAAAAATTAACAAAATCAGAAGTTAAAATTAAGAAAGATCGTTATACAGGCATGCTAGAGATTCCGTATTGAATTGAAGGAGTGGTTCCAACTCGACCAATTGACATCTGAGGCAAGGCAGGCAGTGTTCCAAATGGATTTGTATTTGGGGCTGCTTGTACAACCACAGAACTCTGGGTAGAAGACCTGTCAGACCAAAATATCCAAATAATGGACAAAAAAATACAATATCCAAACTCATTTAAAAATAATGAAAATGCCACTCTATTCCAGTTCCAGAGAGAGAGAAAGAGAACAATACATGCACGAGTCTGTGAAAAGCTATGAGGCCCAGGTATTACATGTTAGTATATATTGAAATATCTAAAAATATTTAACCATATCATATCTAAAATTATCCTATAGTATTAGTTTCCCTATTTTCTCATATCATATCTAAGATTAGTAACTATATTTCCTTAAATTATTCATAATTTGTATTCTTAATTAGTCAGGATTATGATTAGTATAAAATATAAATAAGAGTCACTGCACTAGGTTTTATGAACATGTCACTTGTACATATCATTGTAAATATTAAAATATTATTCAATGTCGATTTTCTCTCTATTCTCCCTCTCTAATCTCTATGCATAAAATCCCATAATTCCAACACTCCAAAAAATGGCAAAGTATTGGATATTGGTGTCACACTTGTATTTGATACCAATACACATACATTATTCTTAAGATACAAATCTCTATGGAGTATCCTCCAAATTTCTTTTTTTTTAAATTTTACTGACTGATACAATTGGCATATGACTCCATTACTTTGAATAGAACTAAAATTACACACAGCTCTATCATTTTATTTGTATTCTTAAAGCTATAGTAAATAGTAAAGTAAATATGATTATGATTAGTATAAAATATAAATAAGAGTTAATGATGCTTTTTATGACATTCTAACATGGGTTGGGAAAAATATGTAAATTGTTGAGACATGGACAGAGGAGGGGAAATATATTCTGACATAAGGAATATATGTATGTCTTCTTCTGTAAATTATGATAATTGTCCATTGATATAGTCAGTCATGTATTAATGAGAAAAGATCAATATATCTTTCCAAACATTGGGAATTTATGTATTTTTTTAGTTCATGTCAGCATATTTAATCCATATCATATCTTGAATTTTTAAGAATTCCCCATATCCATGCTGTACTGTGCCCGTACTGTGTTAAGAATGTGACGATAGGTGAAAAGACACTGCATCCTTGGCCACCCACAAAAGATAAAAAAATTGAACTAAATGCATGACTTTAAAATAATTTTAACTTACGGAAGTCCAAAATTATTCTGACTAAATATGCCTGGAGTGCCACCAAAGCTACTTGCACCAACTATACAAGACAGCACAACAAAACAGTCAATTCACAACATCAATACATCAAACATTGCATGAAACAAAACAAATAGCACACTATAAGCGAAGATAATATATTGAACTGACCAGGTTGTGTCTGGCCAAAGTTGCTAAAACCAAAAGCACCACTCGACTGAGCAGCTTGTGCGGGTTGGAAAGGTGTTGGAAGGGATGGCTGCAGGTATAAAGTCAAACAAACATATTAGGAAGTCAACTTGAGAGTTTATTTTCTCGCATAGAGAAACTCACTATCCATGCATAACACAAAGGAAACTAAAAGATGGACAAAAAGATCATTAAACAAACAAATGTGTAGAGATTAATTGCAACCATCCACACAAAAAACAAAGAATTAAATTAGAAAAAACTAACAGTTTACAGGTGTTTTACATTGCTATGAAATCATGTAGTGTTACATCAATGAGAACCATTGACTTATGTGATAATTAATTTAAAAATCATATCTACCATATTCTAATTGGTTGACAATATAAAAATCTTTACATTAACAATGCATCAAAATTAAACTCCAATTTAAGTTAATTATTTTAAAAGATCTCCAACTTTGCAAGTTCACACATAAATAACACCAACAATTCAACAAGGGTGCAATGTGCTACTCTTAACAATATAAATAATGCTGGATCTACAGGGGTAAATGAATCAAGTTGAAACATCCTCACAATCAAAGTCTGTCTGATTAATGGAGTTTATAATAACTGCCAACAACCAACTCCCCTAAATGCTCACGTTGCTAGGGAGAGATACCTTGGAATGGTTTTACATCTCTAACATGTACCCTCAAGCAAGAAAGCTTGAAACACATTCCCACTTAGTACTGAAATTTAATTTTAATTCTGAAAAATGAAGTAGCTAGGACTGAACTCCAATCACTTGGTCATAGAGATTTTTTGATACCCTGTCTAGTTTTAACTCTCACAAAAGCCCAAGCAGTTTGTTAGCGACACAATGATGATTTTATATCTGACATTAACAATATCTGATTTGCTTAGCATGCGTTCTAGCTTGTTTGATGTTAGTCATTTCATACAGCCATGTGTTTAGCTAGCAATAGCTCATTAATATTTAAACATCAGTTGACATATGGCTTTACCCTTTTACTGAAATTATAGTTTTTTAATGGAGCCCAATGGCATTGACAAATCCATGTAGCCAACCCTTCCTAATGAGATAAAGTTTGGTTATTATTTGCAATATTGCTTATAATTTATATGCAATATAAATAGATTATTTACATAACTACAATAGTATAAAGTTCAATGCATTTCACCATTTGTAAGTAAAGAGAGCTCAGACATGACTCCAATTCACCGTGGCTCATAAACAGTGATTTTAAAGGAAAATAAAAATATTGTACATGAAAAGCATTATCAAATACAAACTCAACTACTCACCGCTGTTTGACCAAAACCTGTCAGATTAGTAGAAGTGAGTGATGTGCTTGTTGAAAAAATACTTCCCACAAGCCCAGAAGAAGGAGAATTGAACAAGCTTGATTGACTAAAAGAAGGTGTAGTCTGCCCAAAGGGAGAGGTATTCTGCCCAAAAGCAGAACCTGTCTGTGCAATTGTAGGAGCTGCAGAACTAAATAATGGGGATGACTGGGTGTTGCCAAAAATGCTTGCGCCAAATGGTGATGTACCCTGGGCAGGAGCAGTATTAAACAGGGATGTAGATTGCCCAAAGCTCGGTGTTGAAGAAGAGTTGGCTCCAAATGGAGATGTGGATGAGCCAAAAATAGAAGGTGCTGCAGCTGATGTTGAAGAACCAAAAGCTGATGAACTGAAGGCAGGAGCAGCTGAAGTTCCAAATCCAGAAGAAAAAGGTGAACTCTTCGGCGCAAAAGGGTTAGAATTGGGTGTTGTGGAGGAGAAAGGATTAGCTGATGATTGACCAAACACTGGTGCAGGAGAAAAGGCATTTGTCTGTGTTGTGGATGAACTAAAACCTGCCAACCCAGTTGACTGAGCAGAGGGAAGTGGTCCACCTAAATATGAATCACAGGTAACAGATTCAAGTCAAGATCATCACTACTGCAATGAAAGCCAGAAGAATTATCAAATTATTCATAATTAAAAGAAGAAAAAAAACCTTTATCTCCCAATTGATAGTCCTCCCATCTTAGCTCCTCGTGGCTTTTGTCTTTGTAAATAGGCATGGCTGATATGGACTCCAACTTTGCAGTCTGTCCAGAGGTACCACTATCTGCTTCAGTTGTTGGTGTGTAACTAGCCACTCTACTTCCACCCCGTTGACCTCCAAAACCTGGCTGTCCAATACCAGTATTTCCAAAAGTTGATGTCGGTGTTTGGGATCCTGCAAGAGAAAATAGGTGAATATGACTTTCAATCACAGTTGCATAAGATGCAAAGTCCCATGTATTTTGATAAATAGGCATTGACAAAACAGTCAAAATTCTAATGATTCTTGAACTCACCAAACGCTGAACTCTGCCCTCCAAAGGGTGAGGCTGTACTCCCAAATGGGCTGCTGCTACCAAATGCAGCAGAAGATTGACCAAAAGCTTGAGTGGATCCAAAACTAAATGCTGGGGTACTAGAAGCCCCAAAAGCAGGAGTACTAGAGGCCCCAAATGGAGTGCTTGAAGTGCCAAATGCTGATGTACTTGATGAACCAAACATGGGGTTACTTGAAGCCCCAAATGCTCCCCCACCACCAAATACAGGAGTACTTGACACGCCAAATGCACTCCCTGTGTTACCAAAAGTTGGGCTTGATGTTGAACCGAATGCAGGGGTGCTAGTTGCACCGAATGCAGGAGTGCTTGTAGCACCAAATGCAGGGGTGCTAGTTGCACCAAATGCAGGACCACTTGTAGCACCAAATGCGGGGGTGCTTGTAGTGCCAAATGCGGGGGTGCTTGCAGTGCCAAATGCAGGGGTGCTCGTAGCACCAAATGCAGGGGTGCTTGTAGCACCAAATCCTGGCTGACTTGATGCACCAAAAGGTGTTGAGGAACCAAATATACTGCTTCCAAAAGCTGGTTGTGATGGCTGGTTAGCACTTCCAAATGGACTTGTTTGAGTAGGCGTAGATCCAAAGCCTCCAAAAACAGGCTTCTGACCAAAAACTGATGATCCTATAAAGCAATAGAATTGATTCTCAGATTGAATTACCAAAATTGTCAGATAAAATAAGGAAAAAAGGAAAAAAGGAAAAAGAACAAACCAAAAGATACTAATGATTGCTAATTTGCTATACTATTAATATATGTAAAGAATTCAAGGGTTCCATAAACTAGCTAGTGTAATTCTCAGTTGTTAAGCTGTATAATTTTCAGTGTTCAAACAGAGAAAAAAAAAAAAAACTAGTGATGAATAGAGAGCATATACAGCTGAATGGAATACCAGCCCTTCACAATATTTTTGTTCTTAAGGTTTCAGTTTCACATGGAATTTGCATTATTCTGTGTTTCCATTGATATCAAACTATCAATGTACTGACTACTGACACAGATTAACCTCCCAAAAAAAATGTACCAACACATAAATAAAAACAACTCAGTGGGTGGGATGGGATCATGGGTAGAACGAATCCATAAACAGAATGTGGTACTTCTGTATTATCATAAATAGAGTACAACCAAACTTCTTCAACAGATCCTTTCCAAAGTCATACATTTTACAAAAACATGTATACGTGAGTGACATGGCACCTGGCTATACTTTATCTTCATCTAAGTATTAGCATTTAAAACCAAACCAAACAATTTCATAAATCACATTATAACCAGTAAAAAACATGCATGTATATATATATATATATATATATATATATATATATATATATATACAAAGAAACTTTAAATAAGAAAAGAAAGGAAATACAAGCCAGAAGAGTATAAGATATCATGTGAAAATAAAATCAGAAAATTGAAAAAACAGCAAATTCAGAAAAAAAACAAAATTTGCCACTTGTTTTCCTTAGTCCACCATAAAAACAACCCTTTCAAAATGCATTAGCCAAGCACTACAAAGAATCTCAGAAGACTGCTTTATCCAATGAGAGAGACAACAAAAAGATTTCATATATGAAAACTGGTATTTTGCTTCACAAAAACATTATGCCTTTCACATGTCACCCCACAATCAATTAACCGGTTTCCAAAGGTTCCAATGAAAACAATCTAATGAATAAAAGAGAGAAACAACTAGCAAATGAAGGTAACAAAAATGGCACACTTACCACCAAATGATGATGGCGAACTACCAAAAGCTGGAGTTGAAGATGACCCAAAAGCGGGCACTGAACTACCGAAAGCTGGTGATGACGAAGCACCAAACGCTGTAGTGGATGAGAATGGAGAAGAGGATTGAGCTGCACCAAATACACCTGTGGAAGTACCTCCAAATATGGAACTACCTGTTTGTGAACCAAATGGAGTTGTACTACCAAATGGCTTAGGAGCAAAAGGATTGCTACTCGAATTGGTCTGTCCAAAAACCGATTGGGAGCCAAACGGGCTCGAGGATGACTGCCCAAAAGCTGTCTCAACAATCCCCATTATCAATGGTTTGTGGAAACAACCAATAAACAAAGAAACATCATATTCAACCATACACACTTACAAAACTACTACAACAAAGAATACTAAATGATAAAACAATCATTAACAATACAAATCCCATTCAACAAATAAACCATAAACACCACAATACTTCAAGAAACATCCAATTGGCCTAACAACAAGCAAACGAAGAAACCAAAACCACGAAAAGTCTAACATTACAAAAGGCAAAACTTACGGTTCGTTGAGCCAAACATCCTCACAACTTTCCAGATACAGTGGCACCGTGTCGTCCCCTAACTGCAATCAGCGTTGAATACACATCAAATCATTAGCTATTCCTTTTCAATTTTTCCACAATACGAAGAAACAAGAACATGAGAAATAAATGCGCAAAACGCAGCTAGTCGCGATATTTTAACGAATTAACCATCGACATTATATCGCACAAATCAGTTGAATTAAACGAAGACACAACGGTGTTGGAAGAGAACGAAAGCTGAATAGATTCAAATGGAAAAAAATTGAAATAAAAAGGGAAAATGCTCACAGTGAAATTGGGGAGAGAGATCTAGGGCAAGGGCAAGGGGCGAGAGAATGAAAAGAGAAAGAAAGTGTTTGGAAGTGAATGGCTGAGGGTTCAGCCACGGCCTTCAATCAAGCACACTGACACACACTACCCTTTAATTAAAAGCGTTTCTATTCTGTTTGTGTTTATATAAAAACCCAAACATTCGCATAGCGTAAAATTTCCGTCATTACACAACGCAACTAGCCAACCCGGTTACCCTCGTCCTACGGCTTTCTTTTTATTTTTTATTTTTTAAGTCAAGTCGGCTTTTCATATGTTTTTTCTATTTTTATACGGAAATAACGTGGCAAGTTATTTAATATCTAATTTTATAAATTTAGTGAGTTTCGTGCATTATATTGCCCCAATATTATTAATTAATAATTTTTTAAATAGTAAAAACTCAAATATGTTTACTATATTAAATAATAAATATTTTATTATATTACATAAGATTAAATTAAATATTAATTTTTGAACTAAAAAATATTGAATTTAAAAGTAAAAAATGACATAATAAACAAATATTCTTAGTTTATCAATAGCTTATAAAACTTATTTGAAATAATTTATCAATAGCTTATAAAAAATAACTTGTATTCTCAAATTATTTTTAGTTTATTTTGATAAACTTCTTAGTATAATTTATTAATAAATTAAATTATTTTTTAACTTATCTTAATAAATGACATAAGTCATATTACTTAAATAAATATTTATTCTAATGCACCCATAAAAGTTTATTTTAGAATGCTACATTTGAATGATAGGCAGTTAGGCACTGCAACTCTAATAATAGTCAAAAGGATATTTAATAACAGGTAAAAATAGTGTTTTTGTAACTCTAGTTTTTGTATTTTATTTTGTTTAATCCTCTACATAATTTCAAAATAAAATATATTAATATCTTTTTTTTTTTTTATGGAGGCAATATTTTTATCGTCTCTAAAATGGAATAAAATGGCGTCAATGACACAATGATTTTTCGATGATAATAGTTGAAAATTGTTACTTTGATAACAAAGACAAAGAAGAAGAAACAAGAAAGAAAGAACAATTTTAAAATGAAACAAAAATAAAGTTATCATTCTTATTTAATTCATGTTTATTTTGTGATACACACTTACACAAGCACCAACACTCTTTGGCTATATCAAATTTATACATTTATTGACACTATTGTTTATCATTCTTATTTTGATACTAATTTTTCTTCATTATATATATATATATATTCAAAAAGCATTCATAATTATTATTTTGAACAAGAGATATAAATTAACAAGTAATGTTACTTCACATACGTTAATGACAATTACACTTTTATATTAAGCGGCGCGTAGCTTAAAAAATCCGTTGATAAACAGACAAGGTTATCCTTACTGGAGACATTTATTTTTACAAGTCAAGTCAGCTTTTGATATTTTAATGTTCATATTTAAAATAGATATTGCCTGGTTTTTTATTTTATTTTCTTTTGACGTGACACAGTATTTATTAGAAATTTTTAATATTTTCTATACATATTAAAAAGTATTTAAACGATGTAATCTTTACGCTTTTATATATTAACATAAAGTCCTTATTTTTCAGAAATAGAGTTTATTTTGTATTTTTTTTCTCCTTAAAATATATAGTTTCATCATTTCTAACAGTTTTTAATAAAAAAATTAAATTAATATTTATAATTTTCATACATGATAAATTTTTTGAAAATTTAATATTAGTTAATTGTCAATATAAAAATTAATTTGTATCCATTATTAATATATTCTTTTATATCATTTAATAACTATGTTATCAAATGCTTTAGAGTTAAATTTTTTCCATACTGATAATTAAATAATAACTTAAAATAATTCTCACTTTAATAAATCAAAATTGAATTGATGGTGAAAATATACACATGAATTCAGTAAATTCATTATTTTGAACTATTATATTTATAATATTTAATTTGAAAATATTATTATTCTTAAATAACATTATTTTATGAATCTGAGATTCGTACAAGATATGAATAAAAAAGTGTTGAGTATTTCAATTTTATATGGATAATCCTTATTTTGATGATAACAACAACAATAATTTATTAAAATAATCATATTTACGAAAAGAATAAAATAAAAACACAAATTTAACTAAAATACATTGCCAGTGTAAAAATTACAGTATGTTTTACTATATTAGCAATGTATTTTTTTTTTAACATTATTTTCTTTCTGAGAATGAAATTATTGAAAAACTATTCAATTTTATAACTTCTTTTTTTTTCTTAAATATTAGCATGAATTTGAAGTAGATATTCCAAACCAATATTTTTGTGAGTTAGTGAATGTAATCTATTTATTTATAATTAATCATTTTTTATAGATTAAGTGAAGTAAAAAAACATAATATGTACAGATAAACTTCATAAATTATATTTTTTTTATTGACTAAATTAGTAATTTAACCCTTACGAAGGCACTTAGCATTATTTTTATTTTCCAAATATTTGTAACACTGTACTTCAAAAGAAAAACTCTCATATTCAGAGAGTTATCTTTTGAAATGCTATTTTGATTGGTTGAACATTCTTGTATATGGAAGTACGTTTTTGAAAGACTACCATCTGAGCATGAAGTTGGAAGAGATGGCCGCAAAGAATTGGCCTGTATTCAAGGAGGATTAGGGTTTTCTAAATTTCATTAGCTAGAATAAATAAAAAGCAACATTAATAAATCAATTTTTTAATCTATATAATATTACACATGATAAAAATAACAATCATAAATATTTTTTTATTAAAAAACAAAGTATTTAATAATATAAAAATACATTAAATTTTATAACATTTATTATACATATGCTCTTGTTACATGCAATGTTGAATAGACTTAAAAATAGCCGTTAGCCATTCTACATAGCGTTTAATAGCAGCCAATTTTTACCAGGAACCAAAATGTTATTTTCAAAAATGAGGATGAGAAGCTAAAAAATGATTTCAGAGGAACCAAATACAAAATTCATCGATTTTATAAAGGCTGAAAAACTAATATATGTCTAATCTTCTAAAATAGCTTTTAATTATCAAAAATTAATATTTGCATGTTAATTCATAATCGACTGTAAGACAAAATCCAGTTGACTGTAAGACAACAATTATTTGTTTGAGGATAAAAAAGATACCCCATGAAACTTCTTTGTTGTTTTGGTCAACTCCCCCATAAAGTTTTTGAAATCTTCTAAAGGCAATAAGCAACTACGTTTTGTGCTTTCAGAAGCCATAAAACTATTTGGTTTGGAAAAAAAATAAAAAATTTCATGCTTATAAAACCCGAACATATTTACTTTTGGAGAAAACAGCTTAATTTGAGTAAAAAGCTATTTTCTAAAATAATTAATCAAATCTAAACATAACCCTAATTGTTGTTTCAAACTATGTGTACAACATATATGAACCGAAATCAACAAAGGCCGGCAACCTCGCCTTTCAGAGTTTCAGATGAGACAGCCTAAGTGACACTTGATAACTTTCCATCCCAGCTGACACTTGAAATAAGCAAAATTTTAAAGGGAAATGGGCTCTCTTTTTTTCTCTCCCTTTTTCTAATTTTATTTCCTTTTTTCTCCTTTTTCTTTCTCTATAACCTCCATTCAGGTGGGGGGAAAAAACACAGATTAAGGTTGCATGAAATTGCATGCGCAACCTCGAAGGAACTACAATTTACATGTCAGGAAAAGGTTAGGCGTATGAACAATTCCCCGTCCAAATAATGAATTACCTAGGGCGGTTGTGATTTGTGAATCTCTTCATTGATAAGTTTCGCAATTAGGATACGGTCAGCCGCTGGCTTATTGTCACTAAGAATGCTGTACAGTAAGTTCAATTCTTCTCCATTGACCTTTTTGAATAGGCTCCTCAGTACTTCAACAGCTCCAACGGGTATGTGCTGATTCATGTGAATCCCTTGACCATTTCCACCATTTACATTGGTGTGGCAAGCTTGTGAAATCTGCCCTTGAGGACGGGAATAGGGACGGGAGTCCCAATATTCATTACATACTCGACTACAATCAAGTGCCTCAATAGCCTGGTAAAGAAAGCGGAAACATGATGAGACCTTGAATTGAATCTATGCTCGGAAAGAAAATCAAGAACAATACAAATACTAACAATTTATATGAAAAATCATTATTTCATTAAAAAGAAAATTAGTATTTGTTTAGAATCCGGATGTAAAACAAAGTGACAAGATTGAACATGATCTTCATGTTGTTTAACTTCACCAAGGAAGCTGAAATATTAAAAAGAAAAAATTGAGGATAGAGTAGACTAGACACACGCCCAAAATCCCACATACTTAAAGAGACTAGATAAGGGCATGTTTGGTTTTTGTGTTTCCCGTCATCATTTTCAATAAATAAATAAAAGGGTTAAAAAATGCTTTGTTGCATTTTAATGCAAATGTTTATCATTGTTTCCCTGACACCGATGTTAACTTAAAAGGGAATAATTTGATCCCAAATTGCTGTTACATCAAGAAGTGGAATAGAAGTTCATTTCAGCCCATGTCATACACTAATGGAGCCCTATGGAAGTTAAATAGTAGAATTAATTTTGATTGGTAAAATTACCTGCACTATTGCTGGTGAAGAAAACCCAAACATTTCAAAGCCATCAAGGCTGCCAGGAGGCTGTAAAGGAGGAAGACCCTTTCTTCCCATCTTATGGTGCTTTGTGATCTCTTGATTCACTCTCTCTCTCACAAGTTCCCAGCATCTTGCAGCTGACATATGAATGAAGACCTCGCTTGAACAATTTTCCAGGGAAACCTGAAGGGAAAAACAAGATTATAGTTATTCCAATTCCAGCCAATTGAATTACAGCAGTCCACTTCAAAGCCCAAAGTATTTCTCAACTAAAAGCATCCAATACCTAAAAAATCTTAAAACCTCAATTTTGATCCGACCAAATAAGGAAGTTACTCAACAGATTAAACACATGACTGCTCCTAATGAGGATTACACCAGACCAAGACAGCCTGTTTTCATTTTCTCCAAGACTCCATTTTTTTAAAATTAGATGTTAGAATAGCCCATTGTGAAAGGGCTTATAAAAAGAGGACAATAGATTCTCTACAACAATAGATCTTAAAGTGAATAACTTCTGAAAAACAAAAATTTGCCTAAAACCTACAGTAGAGTATTGCAGTGCAAAGCGGAGGAGCCCAGGAATCTTCCACCGAACATTTTCCCATACAATGAGGGGCAAAACTCAGTAAAATATTAGCAACAAAAGGATTTAAATTCCAAGTATATCAACAAATTTACATCAGAAATATGCAAGACCTTCCCACACATAATAACAAGAAATACATAATAATATGAGGCTAATTGCATGACAAAAATATGCGATTGAAAATAAGGTGAAAGTACCATAAATAGAGGCCAACCACGTCCAGCATCAAGAATTTCTGAAATATAGTAACACATGCTAGATGGATCTAAGACATTTATGTATCTAACACGGCTTCTAAATCCTGCATCAATTAATTTAATTTGCATAAATACACAGCATATATTCAATTAAACACTGTCATAGAAGCTGTAATCCATAATAGACCGAGTATACAACTATACATACCCTTTGGAAATATAGCCTGACTACTGCACCATGACTTTCCAGAAAGCACCACTCCAAATTCTAATGGTTCAACATTGCAGTTGATACGCCGAACAACCTTTGCAATGCGAGGACCTTTCTGGCGGTAATTGTTTGGACTGCAAGAAAGGTTCCCATTAAGGGCTTTTGCATTATCTGCTACATTAGGAGCACATCCTCCAAACTTTTCATGACTATCCTCATTCCTAGCCTTGATAGTTCCAGAATGTTGTGGGTTCAGAGGACAAATGTCTAAACTTTCCAAGCAATGATCATTGGTCTCCACTGTTGAAGAAGCTGGAGTGTTTCTAGCTGATTCCGCACTGGTAAGACCTATACGACAAGAAAGATCTACTGGGGTAGAAGCTAGAACTGGTCCCCTGTGTTCATGACATTCTTGTTTCACATGCAAAAGCTGAGTTGAATCAGAACTCATATTTTCATGGGCCAATGTAATAGCACCCTTGTCTTGGTTGTTACATGAGTTTGCTTTATCTCTAGAACCTGCAAGCATAGAAGAAAATTCCTTCTTTCTATTTGAATCTGACAACTTCTTTTCATCATCTTCATCATCACTAAGAAGTATAATATTGTTATTATGCCTGTAAAGTGAATTTTTCTCACCTCCATGTTGAGAGAGGGGCAGAGATAAAGCATATGATGAATCCTCTTGAGACAGTTGACAACTAGAGGTTCTTAGCTTTGATCTGCAAATAACGGGTTCTTCTTTGACACAGATCTTATGCGTAGCCATCTCACATGTAGGTTTTGAGCTTTTTAATGTCAACTCCTTAATGGAACTCAAAGATGAAGTAGCTTCAGTTGATTTCCTCTGTTGAAAATAACTCTGATCTTTGCTATTTACTGAATTTGCTTGATTCTCTATTGGTACATCAATCAATTGAGAATCGTCAATAAATTTATTTGATGGATGCAAAGCCATCTCTTTATGCACAGTAGCCCTGGAAGAATGAGACAAATTGGATGAATGCAATTTCAATTCCTTTAGTATTGTTTCCTTGTCTGCTGAGACATAAGCAGAGAGTGCCAGCCCAAGATCTGATTTTGCCCATCTGTATATTGCACTTAATTTTCCTTCCAAGGCCTCAACAAGAATACTTAGTTCGCTAATATCATAACGGAAGAGGAAAAATCTGGAATCCCAAGAGCATGAACAAAAGTGCTTTGCATGATCCAAGCAAGCATATCTATCAGGGGAACAGCGACAACCAGCTGCAGATAGGTGTAAATCAAAAAAGCAAATGTTGCATTCCCTTTCATTTGTAGCATCAAAACTACTCTCCATTTTTAATGACTGTGAAGAACTGCAGAAAAATTCCCTTCTTGCTCGCTCCATCTCAACACGTGTCTAGAGAGGAAAACATAACAAAAACATGAAGAGAGATTAAAATTAAAATTCAATAAAAGGAATTAGTGATGAATCTTCATAGAATTTGGATTTACAAAGCAAATTCACATATCTTTGTTCCGCATGCAATCTTGATTAATACTTGAAGCTTCTATTTTTCTTAGCAGGGTGGGGGTGGAGGGTCACTTATTAATCAGAAGGATCAATTTCAATTACTTTGAAATAGTAATTGACACATAATATTGCTCTCCCCCAAGTTTTATATTAAAATGAGATCCTCAAATATTCAGCAAATAGAATAAAATCTCCATAGTTTAGTTACAATATTGGGGAATTAGAATCTGTTGCCATGATTAAGTTAGGCGTCATCCAGTAAACGAAAGGATCACTTTGATATTAGCCAGGGATTTGTTACATCCAATGAAAGACAAGCAAAAATAATAAGGGACAATGACCGACACAGGCCGTGGCCTCTAAATAACCAGTAAAAAGTGCATGCCGACCAGCATCACATAGTTTTCATATGGACATGATGATATAGGAAAGAAATGATACCACAAATTAGTTCAGCTTCAGATACAATAAAATATTCAAGAGGCCTAAAGAAAAGAAAAACAAAATCTCAAAGGATATACACTAGGTGTCCAAATAATTCCCTTCATTCCAGGTCCATTCCTTATTAGTGCCTAGTGAACATTTTGCAATAAAATCCTGATTCCTGAATATATTGCAAGTTATAAATTAAATTTCTTTAAAAACAATTACTTCTAGAGATATAAACCATTCTTTGGCCTCCACCTAGCAACTTCAGCTTTTAGAAGACATGATCTTTTAAATGGTACCAAAACCTCTATGACAATTGACAAAATGGCTAGAAGTTTGATTCTTTCCACCTCCATATTTACAATAAAGTTGAATATTAGCACAAGCTAAACAGCCAGCATTATCCAGACTTCAAGCCAAAAGGGCTGTTGCATGAAAGGAATATTGGAGAGTAAAGAAAAAATATTCTCCCCAAGAGCTTAAGCATTTAGAAGAGTAGTCCTTGACAACTGTAGATGGTAAGCCCTCACTTGAAGGCTTAAGTTCTTATGATATGATAGTTACTCCTCCATAACATAAGGGCAACTCTAACCAAGTGGTCAGGAGACTCAGGACTGAATCCTTGGTGACCCCATTTTTCTAAATTAAAGTTGAATTTTAGTATAATGAAAGCAGGCCAGTGCATTGTTTACATGTTGAGCCTAAGGGCTCTTGAGTAAAGGGATGAGCCTTCACCTAATAACCAAAAGTTTCAGGATAACTGGTCAATGAGGAATAGGAATCATAAAATTTATGCCTTCTCCTTTTGTGTTTATTCTACTTTTGCTGAAAAACCCTTGTTCACCTATATGTAAATATCTCCATAGTTCCAACAATAAACCTTCATCAAAGAATTTCTAAATTCAATCTAACTCTAACTCTCATTAATTAACTAATATAATACAGAAGACAAGGTGACATAGCACAACAGGATGAACTGACTGAAAATATCCAAAAGCACTCAATTCATCACCATTAAATTCAATAATAGGGTGGAAATTCCTAAACTAGATAATATGCCTTATATGGTGGCTCAGACAAAACTATCTAACCTGCAACTCCCTTATAATGTCATGTTATAAAGTAACAACACCACTAGCAAAACCATATCCCACTAGGTGAGATCAGTTATATAAATCACAAAACGCCATTGAACTTAGTCAATGTCATAAATTCAAAATCATAACTATTATGCCTTCGCACTGCATTATATGGAGAAGCAGACTTTACCTTGAGTGCTTTTGCCAAAAGGCCATCCTTTCCACAGACATCCTTCCATCGTAGATTATCTGAGGTATTCTTCTTTAGCAAATTAAGCTCCCATTGGGCTCGTACTGCTTCCCTTGCAGCCCCAAGTAACAGCTTATCATGAGATATAGAAGTCTTGCGCCCCTGCTCCTGGTATAGCGCTATTGCAATATGCCCATGGGGCAACCAGTCAACAGGAGCAACATTAACAGCCTCAGCACAGTTGAAACCACAATTGAATCCAGAGTGGTAGGCTCGAGGAAATGTCAGAACAAAGTCCCCAGGGTTTTGAACACACCTATAAACTGGTACTCCTTTAGACCTCAGGATAGAAGGAGAAAGCTGAGTGACCTGCAACCAAAAGTTAAAAAATTCATACATTGGATAATACATGTCCAAATAAATAAACATGATCACCCAACATAAACATTTTATCTGTGCTCAACAATAAAAATATGGACAGGTAGATGAATGAAGAGAGGTAAAATATGGAAGATGGAACTTCACCCCTCACAATGAGAATGCAAAAATAATTTAATTTTGTTTGTTACCACTCTCTACTAGACAAAACAAACAGGATGATCAAATCTGATTTGTGCAGTGGTATAAAAACTTTTACTCACCAACTTATGAAGCAAGTCAGGTTGTTCTTCAAAAAGTTCTGGTAAATGCTTTCTCATGGCCTCTTCTAATTTGCAGGCATCCTTTCCAGGGACACCATACCACAATTTTGGAGCTCCCCAATGCATGTAATTTAATGAATATAAATGGTGATCTTCCACATGCTGCACCCACAATTAAACCATAAAGAAAAATATAAAGAAGTTATAACTTATAACAACTAAAGATACAAGCTAAGCACTCACTCTCACACATAAACACATGCTCACAGAGAACTTCAACAAACTGCCACTCAACACACAACAAATAGTTTTGAGGTTGTGGTCTACCAAACAAATCAAGGCAAAAAGATGTCAACTATACCAGTACACAAATAAACACCTTTAAATCCCCTTCCCCCACCTCCTCCCCCTCGAACAGCATGTTAAACAAACACCTGAAGCCTAAAATTGAATTGGATCAAATCAAGACCCTAAAAGCACACACAAAAACACCCTGTCTCTGCCGCTTACTGCTTCGGTTCTCTTACCCACTGCTCACCCACTCATTCCCTTCAGATATCAACACCCAAAATCCCATTCTGGTCTATGCTTGGCTGTGATCTGCAACCTAGGACTTGTTTTGTCCTGCTACTGTGTGATGCTGCTGCCATTCTTTGCTCTGCTCTCTCTCTTGATTCTGTCTATGGTTGCTACTAGTTTTAAGAAATATGTATGAGCCTATGGTTTTTATTTTTACGTTTTTAAAAAGTTTTAAAAGTTTTTTCTCTTATTTATGAATTTGTGTGTGTGCGCATACATATATATTAAGAATTTTGTAGGATCTTACGAGTCGTTTTATGATCCTACGATTTACGATCCTTGACCTCCTTTCCAATCCTATGTAAAATCTCAATTTTGACTACCTTGATCCATATAATCGTAATGGTAATAAACAAAAATTGTGTGAAGAATTCATGAAATTCATGCAAGAAAATTATGGAAATCTGTAGTCCTTACCCAACAAAAGGAGGAAAAGCACATTCCTATATACAACCATGGCACTAGAACGCCAGATATATCACTGCTTTCATAGGAGAGCAGAGATCCAGGTAGCCTTGCAAAGTTATTTAAATTCCAGCCAGATGTTATGTACTGTTCTTGTGAAGCACAACCAACTTGACAAGACTTATTGGGGAAACCACTCCCAAAAACCCCAGTTTCCAGATCAGCTCCATAAAGCACCTGGATGTACAAAGAAAATGACATGTAAGCGAAGCAGCATGTACAAAGGGCAATGAAAAGGCAATGTTTTCATGAAGTAGCAAAGTATTGAGATTATATGGAAACTTGGAAAGTGACCTCAATTTCTTCAGTAGGACTCTCAACCATCCGCCAATATTCACCTTCAATTTTTTCCACAGAAGGCTCTGTGGTATCATTTAAAATTGTTGTATTCACACCCAAATGAGCTACACTCTCATTTTTTCTGAAGTATTTTCCCTTAAAATCATTTGCATATTTCTGAAATGTTTCCAAGGTAAATTCTGGACCAGGTTCAAACCCAAACCTTTCAGTTTCACAAAATCCAGCACTAGGTCCCATTCTAGTGCCATTATCCACCCCCATTCTTGTGCATCTTCTCCTTTTCCTCTTCATATTACTTTGAATCCTTGACATCTTTCTCCCTGAATCACGATTCTGAAGTTTGTCAATCCTCTGAACACGTGTAGCAAATTTAGAACCCTCCCATATGCTTTTTTCCTTGAGAGGACAAGGGGGTTTCCAGGAAGATGGCGGAACAATGCGACAAATTCCATATGGTTCAGCCCTCGTGCGAATGCTTGATATATATTTTAAAGTATCTTGAAACTCCTGGAAAAATATTATGGACAAGTCAAAGACCTGATTCAACAATAAAACTAATTTATAGAAGCAAACAGATCAGTGGCAGGAACAGAAGTGAATTCAAATGTGCCACAAGAACTGCACAAGACCTCTTCAGTAGGATAGAAAACAGGAGCATCCTCAAGATTTGGCCTACAAGCATCTTCTGGTCGCCATCTAGCAACAACCTGTCAAAGACTTCAATTGTCAATTACTAATTATGCAAGAAGAATTCCCAATAACAGCTATTTTAACTTTTATGATAAAGCAACCTCTACAATATATGGAAAAATTACCCATTCAAGTCCAATGTTCTTATTACAATAATCAGTACCAACTACTTCTGTTTAAACAATCAATAAGGGAACATCTTAATTCATAAAACTTGGTAATGCAAATGTCATTATTACTATATCAGCATCCTACTGCATTTGTACTTTTCTCTTTTTTCATAACAAGTTCTTCATTTTTCAAAATAAAAAACATGATTATTAATGTATTCTATATTAACATAATAACAATAGAAAAAGAAATAACAATAACAGAGGAGAAAGTGGATATGAAACATCAGAGTTGATTCATTAATAATGAAGCCAATAATAATTCCGACAGAAGTAAAGCATGTAAACTTTATAAATAGACCTTTTGACAATTACTGCAATCTGGACATCCACGGATGACACCCTTAGGAAGACAAGATCTTGAGACAAAATTCTGCATTGACATTATATGTAAGACACTAACCAGAATTCTGTATGCTCTTGTATTTAGGAAAATTCATGCAAAACATTAAGAATCAAGACATCCAAAACAAAAATTTAACAAACACAAGACTGACTTGATCAAGCCGCTCACGGTCAGAGTCGTCATCAGAACTGTTCTCATATTGTCCATAGTTAATCCAGGGTCTTCGTCGTAGGGATCTAGGAACCTTTGCAGTATCATGAACTTGAACATCATTTTCCACCTTAGTTGATTGTGATTCAGAAGCACTTGTTGAGGCTGAACAACTGGTCATATTTTTATCATTTTGGTTTTCATTGTCTTCTACCCTCTTCAGTGAGAAAGATGTATATGACTCAAAACCTGGTGGAACTGATGGAAAATCATCATTATCTTCTTTAACACATATTCTCATAAGCTCTGTCCCCATCATAACGTCATGCAAAAGGCAACAGGTATAATGCCTCTGACTTGTCTTCCCTACACAAGTTAAGAAGTCAGCATATAATCTACACTGACAAGACAGACACAAAAAAGCATCTAATCTAGGTTTTAATAAACTTACTTGGATAGGAAGTATACTTATGAAGTGAAAGATGTTGAGTTTGTTGGTTCTCTGAACTTCCACTGCATATTAAAGCTAGAAATCACATCAATAGAAGCTAATTCAATGTTGCTGTAACTTCACAAATTGCCGGAGAGTATCAATCTGAAATATGTCACAATAAACACAGAGAGAGACAGCTCAGATAGGTATCTTTGATATTCATACTTCTTTTTTCAATTTAGATAAAATTGCTATCCAGTATCCATACTCTTGCCAGACTAAGATTATAACTATTTCAGTAAGGCTATTGGCATTCGTCCAACACAATGGCAGATCTGATAGCAAAGGCATATTGAAATTTCAACATGTTATTGTTTAATCAAATAGGACTAATTGACAAATGAAAGACCAAGATTAATGTAGGAGAATACATCATCTAAATGCACGTGATGACCAACATTCTTTGTCCCTTTCCCATTTATCTCTCTTTAAATATTTCTCTTCCCCCTGTCTCAGGACTAAATCCCTAGTTCATTACATTTTAACAGCCAGATCATGGGATAAAAAATTAAAAGAATTCAGCAATCACTGAAACCCAAAGATAACCTAAAAGATCCAGTAGAATTTGTAGAAAGGATCTTCATAAACTGTAGTTACCATTATCTGCATGTGCCTAACAATATAGATGCATAGAGCAAAGCAAACATCATTATAAACTCACTACAATAATATTATTTAGAATTGATAAGCCGAGAAAAAAAGGAAAAAACATAAATAAATATTAAATAAATATTAATAAAAAATAAGTCAATTTTACTATAATCAAACAATTTTGCAGTGATTAGTTACAATCATAACAAGGAAAAAAAAATCATACCCTATCAGGAGATAACTAAAGGAAATCGTGGAGGAATTGCGATTTTCTATTGTAAGGTTGGATACACGGAAAAATTGGGTTAATACAGTGGAATATCGGTCAAAAATAAAAGAAAATTTCAAAGTCCTATCGATGGCCGGTGGTAAGAAGGATGAGCGTGAAGAATTGAAGACAAAATGATAGCTCTACAAACCCTAACAAGATGGAGGAAGAAGACGATTGAGGAAGCAACATAGACAAATCTGAATCCTCTTCATTAATGTCTATACTAGATGATATTTTTTTTTCCTTTTGGGTTTTTTTTTTTTTTGGTCAATTCTTGTGGGATTGAAACTTACAACAGTGCAATGTCAAGTATTTGAGCCCAAGGATACTTTCGGCTTTTCACTCTTTCCGGCATCGGCTTCACGTCAAGCTCTAGCCAAATCCTTATAATAACTAACATTTGTACAATTTTTTTTTAATTGTAATTTTAAACATATAAATACATATATTAATATGATAAGAAATATTTAAAATTCGATTATAATTTTTATATATTATTATTTCATTGTATATTTTTTAATCCAACATTTATAATAATATTCTTCGTTAAGTAACTAAATAATTTTACATAATTTAATCAATAATTTAAAATTTATAATAGATTAGAAACATTTGAAAGTAAATGCCTGATAACAATTTTAAGTGAAAAAAATATAAAATATTAAAAAATCATCATTTAATTATTTAGAGTAATATTTATATAATAATAATGTGACTAATTAAGTGGAATTTATTTAGAGTAATATTTAAAAAATTGAATATATATATATATATATATTGTTTTAAATATAATATTTAACATTAACATAATATTAAATTATTATAAATATTTTTTATATACACACACCTGAAAATATTGATTTTTTAAAAAATAATATAATATATTTATATTTTAATATAGTTTGTAAATAATTAAATATAAATATCAATAAAAAATCTAAATATGTATCAATATTAATCTAGTTAACTTCTAATAGTCAGAAATTACTATTTTTAATTATTTTATTAATAAAATTATTCACTTAATAGAACAATTGAACCTTTATTAAAAGTTTAAAACTTAAATAAAATTTATTTCATTATAAACACCTCTCTAGAAAAAAGGATCGATATTCATGGAGGAAGAAATAAAAATAAATAATAGAAACAGTAGAAATAATAACGACATATAACAACAAACAAAGTATTATAATTAGAATATAGAATAGAAATAAGAAACCTCAAATTTGTCAAAATATTGTAGACTTTTGTAAATTTATACAGTTTTTGTGAGAAAGATTGAAGATAGAAAACTTAGAGTATGTTTATTTTTTATTTTGAAAAGGGTTTTTAGTTTTTAAAAATAAAATATAGTTACTATATTTTATTTTTAAAAACTAAAAACCCTTTTCAAAATAGAAAACAAACATGCTCTTAAACTTCAAATATTTTTTATTATAAATAATTTTATTTAATTCTTCTAAATATCATAAAGTTTTATTTAATTTATTATTTCAAAATATCAAATAAAAAATGCATAACACTTATAAAAATCAAGAGACTTGTAATATTTACCGAGATTAAATAACAAATTTTTTAATATTTAGAAGAGATGGATAAAAAAATCACAAGAAAATTATTTTAGAAAAATATATTGTACAGATTTATTTTAAAAAATAAACGTGAAAGACTAGTTTAGTTATAACAAAATGAGACAACCCAACAAACTCAGGCCAAGCTTCCACGACAACAAAATGTAAAACTATCTACTTTAATTTGTTTTTTTTTTTTTCCCTCAACCTGTTAAAAATCGTCAAAACTAATCATTAGTTAACCTAAATAGGTCAAATAACTTATATTACCAGTTTTAGGTTAATTAAAAAATATTATAATTTTGTAAAAGACAAAATCTTAATGTAGCCTAATTTATAATATTTGATCTTTAATATTTTATAAAGCACCAAAAATTGATTATGTTCAAATTAGTAACATTGATGATCCTCTGTGGTGAGTGAAATAATATTATCATTTAAGAAATTATAGGATAGAATATTAATTTTAATTTAAAGGGACAGTTTTAAAATTATTATAATTAATATTTTTATTATTATTTTCAATAAATAATTATTATTTTCAAACTTTTAAAATCTATCCAAACCAATAATCAATATCCATTAATGTGTGATTCAACGAACAAGTTCACTAGTGTTTGCACATTTTTGTTGGGCTATGTGGGCTGGGCCGTCGCAGCCACCTAGCTCCCGTTAATCCTGAGATGAGTGCACTGTTCATTGACACGAGTGCGAGACCCCGCAAGTTTCTTCACGCACGTTTCTCATGTGAAAATAGTGTCTTTTGCATGACGCGTCACAGCAACTACATTGACAAAACAAAAACTTATAGGATCATTTTAATTAAAAAATAATGATAACTAATGTTATAAAATATGGATTGAAAATTAGAACAATTTTTTTATTAAAAATACTATTAATATATTTTTATAATTTTGCATAAATTTAACGTAATTTTTAACATATATTTATAGTTTCTTAAATTTAAATCACACAAATTAATAAAAAATATTAAAATTATTTAATGTACTGAATTTTATAAAATTAAATATATTATTTTAAATTAAACTTTATTATCATATTAATTATTGAAAAATTAAAAGGATTCAAAATTATAAAAGACAAATATATATATATATATATATATATATATATAATGTTCTCTTATATTAAGAATTACAAAAATAAGTTTTAAATATTTTTTATAAAAAAAGACGAACGGAGAATGGAAAGCAAGGTGCATATTATTATTAATGCTTTAAGTAAATATTTATTTTTTTCCCCTTAGATTATACATCAGTGTAAATTATTTTAGTTTTAAACTTTATAAAATATTTATTTTAATAATTAATTTTATAAAAAAATATATGTTTGAATTTTTTCATACAAAGTGATAATAAAGAATGAAATAAAATATACTTAAAATGAATTTTTTAAAAATATAAAAAGTAAAATAAAATTTATAAATTAAGGAGTAAAACAATAAATATTAACAATTTTAAGGACTAAAACGATACTTTTTCAGCCATTCTCTTTGTTAATGGAAAAAAAAAAAAAAAAAACTACCCACTTCTCATGTATAACAAAAATCAAATCTATACACAGCTAGCTTGCAAAAAAAAAAAAATGGTTAGGAGCAAGTGCAGTTGACTCAATAGATAAATTAGTTGAAAAATAAAGCAATTAATTGTAAATTTAAAAATTGATAAATTAATTTATTGAATTAAAAATATGTGATAAAATAATTAATTACTGAATTAATTGATAAATATAAATTAATATAAAATGACATGTTTAATTATTTGACCTTAACTTAAAATTTTATGACTAAAAATAATTTTTAATAATTATCATTTAAAAATATTTTAATGGTGTGAAAGAAATAATGCATGTTTAAGGATTTATAAAATTAAAAAGTGTAACAGAATATTATAATAAGATAATAAGCATATGATAAAATAGAAAAAATAAGTCGGGAGTTAAATTTATAGTGTTTCAAATATTGCTATGCACTACTAGAATAGATTTTTTTTTAACCAATCAAATTTAATTTAGTCAAATAATTAAGTAAATTAAAAGCTAACTTATTTATCTTATAAAAACTAGAGCTGTCAAAATGGGCTGGCCGATAAATTGGGCTCAAATAACCTGTTAAATGGATGGGTTTGAGCTCTAAAAAATAAGACTCGAAATTACTTTAGACTATTTTGACCCGATCCGAATAAGCCTGGTACCCAATAGGGCTTTAACCGAGTTGGTCCATGTGGGTTCGGGCAGCCCGTATATATATATATTGAGATTAAACCCTGAGTTTTAAGGAGTTTGAAAAAGAATATATTTTAGTTTCAAAACCCTAAAATTACAAGTCTAAATTATATACTTTTGCACTGCTACAAAAACAATTAAAAAAAAAAGAAACCAATGGCCTTTTACAACTTAAATAAATAAATAAATAGTATAATATAAAAATTAGACATAAAAAATGAGTGGTCTATTAAGTTCTTGCAAAAATAGCTTAACATGATATATTATAAACACTAAAAATAGTAATAAAAGTAATGATTTGTTGTTATAAAAACAGTAAAAAAAATGACATGTTACAAAAATAAGAAAAAAAAAATTATTTGAATTGTCGGATCAGCTTGCAAAAGCCCGTAGCCCACATAGGGTAATGCTTAAGCAGTAAAAATATAAGTCCATTTTTATCTTAGGCTAATTAAGCCCGACCCATTTGAGCCTACTACCTATATCAGGTCGAATCCGGTCGAACTGTTCGTTTTTACAGCTCTAATAAAAACATTTTGTATTTTACCTACAAAGGTGCCATTTGGCTTTAATTTTTCTCTAAACTTAATAATTCTTTGCAGCGATTGATCCACTTAATTCTAAGACTAGGTCTAATTAGATAGTGAGATACAACTATTAAATTTTAAAACAAAAATAAAAAAATAAAAAATCACAAACAAGTTTATAAAATTTAAGACTAATTAGTACATTGTAGAATTATATATTTTAATACATATAATTATTTTTAAAATATTATTTCAATAAAATGCCAATACCATTCTTTAAATACTTTTAGTATTATTTTAAATTAAAATTAAATTTTAATTCAACAACTTGCACATTAAAGGCATTAAGTAAGATATTATATTTAAGTTCTGTTTGTATAAATAATAACATTCTTAACTAAATTATACACATATAAATGTTTTCATTTATCTAAAATTTCATTTAATAATTAATAAAAATATAATGAAAATATAATATCTTATTAATTTATACAAATATATAGAAAAAAGTATACAAAATATTTAAATTTTGAAGTGAAACATATCATTTAAGCATTTGAAAAGTTAGAAAGATTAAATGTGAAAAATTAAAATTTAAAAAATTACAATTTAAAAAATTAAAATTATATATATGTATAAATATAAAGATAAAAAGTGTAATTAAAATTTTATTTTATTTATCATTTAACAAATTTTTTCTTTTTAACATTAATATTTTATTAAGGATAACTTTAGAGTATAAGAATGCTCTAGCCAGTTAGACAAGTTAACTCAATCTTTAACACAATCTTTTTCCTTTATCCAAATTTAAAACCAATTATATTAATTAAGACCAGAAGGAAAGGCAAATACCTAAAATCATATCGCCCAGACTTAAACCAGAGACCTATATACATTATATTTCTACAATAAAAGAAAAGCATTAATCGATCGATATTATATTTTAGATGTATCAAGAGCTGCTGTGGTACAAGACTTTATCTCTAAAATATTGATGCATGCTTTTGTGGCTATGAATGACCAATTAGGGAATAATGCCGTTATCAGTGGTTCTAGAGCATCCACTATATATTAATCTAAATGCCCAGTCATATTTAGAACAACACCTACAGGTCAGAAAGATTCTTTTATTCTTAGCTCCTGTAAAATATGGGAAACAACTATATGGCTATAGTTGAAAGACTAACTAATGAATTCTGGGAATATAACTTTGTTCAGCCTTCTAGATATATTTAGGTCACATTGTTTAACGATTTTCAAAGATGGTGTCTAAAAAGGAGATTATTAGAATATATTTCTCCTTTGCATCCAAATTCTGCTTTCTTTAATTTTTCTTCAAGCTCATCCACAACCCACGAGAGACTTGTTGTTTCCTTTTTACCAAGATACCATTCCTGTCTGAAAGGTTGTAACATCAATTGGGTTTAGTTGAGAAAAATGCTATATAAATATCTACATATGCACATAAAAAAAGAATTGATACCCTATTTCGTACCATTATAGTTGTGCCTATGTGTGAAAAAGTAGTACTATATAACTTCAGCTTGATTACAAAACATTATCATTTAAGAGATGCAAATGGCACAGAGGAATATATTCCATCGCTGGTTTCTTCCTTAGTTGTTCTTCTTTCCTTCTTTATATCTACCATGGCTTCCTTGCTAGAGAAAGCTTTAGGATTTGAAGTTTTCGCATTTATATACCGCTGTTTTATTTATCAAGATCATCACAAAAACGTCAATAGGAACTTCAAGATGCCAAAGAAGGGTCGACCACTTTCCTTACAGGTCTGCTTTCATTATGATTTGTTTTCTTACGTTAATATTTCTTCTTATATAGTTGTTTCGTTAATCGTTATCCCTCGATCAGCTTTATATCCTTGTTTTCTTTCGTGGAAGCTCATTCCATTGAGTTTGAATTTAATTCATAATAAATTATGGAATATTTAACATGGAACTGAAAATTCATGTTTATGAGATGTTCGCATGAGAAGATATAATTTAATCTCCAATCGTGTAACGTAATAGAGAAAGAGGCGCATTTATGTCAACATATTAATTTTGTTTAAAGAAAAAAGTGAATGAAAAAAAATGCATGAATAAAAAATAGTTATGTGACAGGCTAATATAATGACCTCGTTCGACATGCACCAAGTAGAAGAGTGAAAAAAGGTGACTTTTAAATACATATGAGAATATGTGAAAACCACCATTAATTAATCAGAAAAATAATGAATAAATTGTCATTCTGTAATTTGGTTTTATTTTGGGAGATTATTCCCATACCTTATTTTTTCCTCTGGGCAAAAAATTTTAGTTAGTTTTTATTTATAAACCTGTAACTAAAAGATATTTAATAAAATATACCGACATCTTTACAAATAAAACTACCTTGTTTTCCATATAGCCGTCGCTTGAAATTTACGAAGGTTTTGAAAAGGAATCAGAACATGAAGGATGACAAATAGTTAGGAAAAAACTTTCATATGAAAAAATGACATCTCTGATACTTATTCTTTTCAGACCGTTGAGCTGAAAGTAAGGATGTGCTGCACAGGCTGCGAGAGAGTTGTTAAAAACGCCATTTACAAACTCAAAGGTATGTGTTGTTTCTCCTCTTTTTTTTTTCTTCAAGGCTATGACTTCGACGGAGGAATACTAAGCTTAGATGAAGGATATTAAGTAGGAGTATTTATGAGTCAGGTTAACGAGTTTTAATATTAAAAATGACTCAATTCTAATTGTTCAAATAACAACTTTATTAAAATTAAATAAAAAATCATTAATTGTAAAATATAAAATAGTATTAATATTTTAATATTCATTTAAATAAAGAGTTAAAATAATATATAATATTTATTAAAAGATTAAATTACAAATTTTTAATTATTTACTTCAAACATAAAGAAAAAATTAAAATGGTGTAGAGTTAATAGAAAAAGGTTCATATATAACGAATTATTAGTTTATTGAGTTGGGTTAATTTTAACATACGCATGATCTAACTCGTACTTTATTAAATTTGAATTTTTTATTTGAATCAATCTGTACTTAAATCAACCTAATAATTTTTAATTAAGTTGGATTGGATTAATCATATTTATTCAGTTAATGATTGAGTTAATGAAATTCATGAATACTCTAATATTAAGTCATTAGTCATGAAAAAAAAATTAAATTTAGAATTAGACGAAGGATGTTTATAAATTTAACTCCATATGTTTTAATTAATTAATTAAGATAATTGTGTGTATATATATATATATATAATTTATAAAATTAAATAACTAGAGATAATTTAAAGATTTCACAATAATCTGTCATTTTATTCTTAAATTGAAAAATATTATCTTAAATGAGAAATTATTCTCTATTTTATTACCAAAAAAACTCCTGTTTGAAACATACCCTAGTACGTGACTCAAATGGAACCAAGGAAAATAATAGGAATAAAAGACTAACAGAAGAGTTGCTTTTGGAATCTGATCCAAATATTCTGATTACTTATTCTCATTTCTATTACAACACAACGAATAACGGTGCAGCTGGATGTATTTTTATCTGTTCTACATAATAGAAATAATAGTCTACAAACCATTCAATAAATGTGATTTATACTTTGTAGGTTAAAAAAACCAACTACTGATTCTTATTTTGACGAGTTTAATCGTTACATATATACATGCTGCGTATATAACATGTTAAGACTTAAATTTAATTCGAAAATGAAGGTTCAACCTTCCATCTAGCTGCTCTCCTTCCCTTCCCTTCAAGTGCTGAAGAAACAAAATCTTATAACCGTGTATATACTATACATATATGTGCAGTTCTTTACTAGCAAAACATTTCTAAATACAAGCATGGCGTTAAGATATTTTTCCTTAAGCAAACACGATACACATGTCAATAAATTGAATCGTTACATAAATCATATCATATATGGTCCGTATATGTATGTATAATGTATAAGAAGCTGTTTAGTGGCGGAGTTCTATTATTTAAATGTTTTCTGAACCCTACCCTTATATATTATACATTGATGACACAAACATGTCTACTCCCCATTTGTCCAAACAACATTTAATGGTACGAAAGGAATTTAAGTAGAAAATGTTATAAAACTATGTTGATATTTTATTAGTTATATTAAATTAGAAAATGATAAAACGTACTGGGTTTGAGGGAAACTATGGTGTGATATTAATTATTGTGGACAATTTTCGTCACTTTTTGTCAACTAAAATTTGTACTACCAATTTTTATCAAAAATAAATTCGTACAATCAATATGTATAATGATAGGAAACAACATGTCAATATGAATTTGTATCTATCATGTTGCAGAATGTTAATTGATGAACAAATTTTCTCATACTATACTCCTCTAAACCACATAATTTGGTAGTTTTACTTTAAGTTAAATTTCGTATGATATAATTTCTAACATGAGATCGGTAACAATGCAAGAATGACTATACTCCTACGTTGTTTTATAGGCATTGATTCAGTGGAGGTTGACTTAAAGATGGAAAGGGTGACAGTTGGTGGGTATGTTGACCGAAACAAGGTGCTTAAGGCCGTGAGAAGGGCAGGGAAGAGAGCAGAATTCTGGCCTTACCCTAATCCACCACTTTACTTCACAACTGCTGACCATTACTTCAAAGATACGACCAGTGAGTTCAAACAAAGCTATAACTATTATAGACATGGCTACAACCTCCCAGACAGGCATGGCACTTTTCATGTTTCTCACCGTGGAGATGACGATGTTAGCAACATGTTCAATGATGATAATGTCAATGCTTGCTCTGTCATGTAATTAAACCTTAACACCTTGTTATTTATTATGTGTATTGCTAATTGGGAAGACTTTCATCATGATATGTAAATTTGAAGTAACTGCAATGTATATATGTGTGTGTTCTATGTATTAAACGTGGGTTGTGCTTTTGTGAATTTGAAGAAAATTTAGTATTGAGATTAAAAGAGGAAAATAATTGTTGAAAATTCTATTAGATTATTATGTGATTTGATTCTTAATATGATTTTAATATATTTTTAACAAGTATTTTAAGGCTATTAGTTAGTAAAACCTTAAAATAATTAAGAAAAACACTATTTTATTGTATAACAAATTAAAGTAAATTTTTTTAATTATAAATAAATATTAATGAAACATGTGTTAGATAACGAGAAAGATACGTGACGACACAAAAATAAAGTAAATAGTGATATTTTATTAAGAACAATGATTTAAATTTATAACATTATAGTGGATAAATTTAAAAACATTTGAAATTAATTCGTTTATTTATAATAAAAAAGTAAATTTGGCATGTATGATAAAAAAAAATTATTTACAAAAGTAATAACAAATAAATTAATAGACAACAGTCTTTTTCGTTACCCACTATAACAAGGTGAGTAGAAGTTTGGCATGGATGATAAAAGTTCTGTAATAGTTACACGAATGAGGTGTATTGAAATATTGGATCACATGACATGTAAGTTAGCTAGCACAATTCTATGAATATTCTCCCTAAATTGCTCAGCCATCATCTTATTAGTCTTCTGTATCTCTAAAAGACCTCTACACTTAGTATTTTTGTGAATTTTCACTGTTATTGTTGGGTTTGTATCAATTGTTGTCACTGTAGCTACATTAAACATTGATTCTTATATAAAAAAAATGTACGTTAAAGATGATACATTTAGATAAAACTTGTTCATCAAAAAATTATTAATGACTTTAATAAACAACCTTATCAACAAAATCACGAAGAGTAACTTTATTAATAAAACACAAGCTAAATACGATAAAAATAAAGTTCCTCCAATATCTAATTATAATAAAATAAATCTCAATATTGAAAACAAAAGGACCAAATTAAATATAATCAATATATAAGTAATTTTAATTGGTAATGCAAAAAATAAGACATTAATTTATATAAATGACAACTATTATAACCTCTCAATTGAAAGGAGAAGAGGGGCCAAGGAAAGAGTCAAAGATCATGAAGTTACGTTTCAGTGGGCTAGGTCATGGTTGTCTATGTGATTTTGGTGCATCACTTATTATAGCAAAAAAATATGGAGGTTAGGGGAGGAGGCAACAACAAATGTGATCCATGACTTTACTTGATTATAATCCGTAGTGAATAACTTAGATTGATCAATGAACACGACTTAGTAATTTATTCTATTACAGTGATATTTGTTCTTCGTTTTTATAGATTAAAGGTAAGTTCAGAATGGTCTTGAGGTTAAGGTTCTGTGGCATATAATTATTAGTAAAAAAGAGTAAACCATGGAGATGAAATTAACGTTTATTAACGATGATTTTATTTATTTAGTTGACACAATTGCTTGGATTAAGATGGCTACGGGTGAAATTTGATGTTGTTTGAGAATACAGGTGAAAAACAGCAAGTTAAATAAATTAGTGGTGGAAGATAAAGAGGTGCAAAGATAAGGAAGATAGCATCTGTGGTAATAAAGATAAAAATAATTAAAGAAGAGAAATGATAATAATATTTTTTTTTATTATTGATTAAAGTTTATTAAAAATTAAAACAATTGAAAAAAATATTAATTTAATAATGAGAAACAATGAGACTCATGTAACAATATTTTTCTCTAAGTTAATAATAAAAATGTGTTAAAAAATATGTTAAAAAATGTGTTATCAACTTTTTCTTGTAACAAAATATTAATAAAAAATGAAAAAAAATTAGCAAGATGTGAAGTTGGTTTTCTCTGAAACGTGTAAAGCCATGTCAACGTTGTGACAAGTCACACGAAAAAAATCTAATGTCAACGTTACAAGTTATACGAAAAGAAGTGTTAGCCACGCAAAATTCACTTTAATGACAAAACCTTCATTAACAAAGGGAATGGTGTTCTTTTCTTTTTCTTAATTTCATTTAAGGATCAAATTGTATTTTTTGCACGTAAGAGTCAGATTAAAAAATAGGATCAAGATATATTTTAAATAAACAAGTTTAAAATATATTTGAATTAGATTATTAATTAAAAAATATCAATTTCTTACAAAAGCGCATAAAACATACAGTATATAACAAAATTAGGAAAAAGACATGTATACGTGAAAATAAATTGAAAAGAAGCTGCGAATAATACTTGAACATTATTTTTTTATATTTTAATTAGATTCTTATTATTAATAAAACAGTATTTAATTGATTAAATCTTAAAAAATGTTTCATACTTTTATATTTCATCTATATATAAAATTTATGCAACTTAATCCTCAACATATATATCTCAAATCATGCAAACTGAAATTTCATAAAACAAACATCATATGTGTGTGGTTCAGAATATACATTAAACAATTTGTTATAATCATTTATACAAATAGAAGGAGAAAAATGAGTATCCAAAGCAAATATTAAAAGAAAAGGAATGAAAATTACAAACACAAAAACATCGTATCCAAAGATTGCTAATTGACGAAACAATTAACAAGAATGGTGAATGGGGATGGTGAAATATATACGATGATGAATGGAGAAAATCATTATCATATAAAGAAATATAGCAACAATGGACAGAAAATGAAGCTTTCACGTAAGAAAAGAGGGAGGAATCAAGGGAGAAAATACCTATAATAACATAATAAACAAATAACAATAATACCAAATGTGAACATTTAAGAATGGTGACCAGTAATAGATGATCATCGATGACAATGAACGACGATAATAAAAGAAAAAGAACACATGAAAATGATTTCCTAGCTACTAAGAGTTCTAAAATATAAGGTTTTATAATTTTCAAAATAATCATAAATTAAAATTTTAAAATTTTGATAGAAGTATTTTTATTAAGTTCAATCAAAATAGTAATGAATTAAAAAATTTAAAACACTCCTTAAAAAGCTTCGTCATAAAAATTGATGAGAGCTTCCATTAACATATCCAAATATTACCTTTAAGTTATAGAAGAACTTAAGCCTATTAAGAGTTATTTTATTTTATTTATACAAATATAAGTAATTTTATATATATATAAAAAAACAATGTTATATAATTTTTCAAAAAATAAATCTGCCATAAATTCTCACACATATTATGAGATACAAATTTTGATGAATATAGTATGCAATCTATTATCATTTTGTAATTATTTAGGGGGTGTATTAGATTAGAACTTTAAAGGACTTTTTTAGTTAAAAAAAATCTAACAAATTTTAAAAATTTTTGTAAGATTTTCATCACTTTTAAAGTAAACATACTTTGATTATTTTTTTAAATTTTAATAAAATTTAACATAGATAATTAGTGTAATATATAATTATAATTTAACAGTTAAATATATTTTATATATAATTATTGATAATATAACATTTAGTATTTATTTGATCTTTCATATATATATATATATATATATATAATACAATATAAAAAGATAGAAATCAAGTTAACTTGTTTTTATTAGGTCAGTCTGATTCAAATTTATTATTTTATAAATTAAAAAAAATTATTTGATTTATATTAAGTTAAGTTTAACAAATAAATTTTATTAATTCATTAAAATTAATAACTTGAAAACACAATATTATTATTTAGAATTTGAACCTATTAAATATTCCAAAATTAAAATTAATAATTATGAGTAACAAAACTCGGGAAAGAAAAGGGTGGTTCGTTGGAACAGGTGAGGTGTCGGGGGTGGAATGTTGTTTGTCCAAAAGCTCCTCCATCTTTGTTTCTGACTGAATTCCCACTCCGTCCCTATTTCTCTCTCATCCAATCCAACCACAACTTCAAGTCAAAATCGAAGACCATTCTCTCAAACTAAATTCACACACACAAACACCAACGCGCTAGATTTGCTCCCACTGTTCCGATCGCCGACGACGCCCATTCGATGGATATGGATCCATCACAGTTCCCCCGAAACAACGACGCTTCCTCATCACCCTCTCATTCTCACACTCACGAAACCTCCCCTTTATATCTCCACTCCTCCTCTTCCGACGACGACGTTTCATCCTCCAATTCCATCCAATCCACTAACCGCCGCCTCGACTACATGCTCCAATTCCTCGACCGCAAGCTCTCCGCCGACCACCGCCGCCACTCCTCCGGTTCTCGCCCCTCGCCGTTGCCGGAGTTCGTCGCCAGAGGAGGAGGCGCAGGCATCTTCCGTCTCCCCGCTCGCGCCGCGGTGCACCCGTCGCGCCCTCCGACTCTCGAACTGAGGCCGCATCCGCTGCGGGAGACTCAGATTGGGCGTTTCCTCAGGAACATTGTCGCAACAGAGTCGCAGCTGTGGGCTGCTTCCGAGTGTGGAGTGCGGTTCTGGAACTTCAAGGATCTCTACGCGTCGTGGTGCGGCGTCGGAGAAGAAGGTGTTGTGAGGAGTGGTGACGAAGAGAGTGCGCCATTTCGGGAGTCAGCGTGCACTTCGCCTACGCTGTGTTTGGTTGCGGATGAGGGGAACAGGTTGGTGTGGAGTGGAAATAAGGATGGAAAGATTATGTGCTGGCAGATGGATGATCAGATTTTGGATGATAACAACTGCAATTGGGGGAATCGTTTTAAGGAAAGCTTGTCTTGGCAGGCTCACCGTGGACCTGTTCTTTCCCTTACCTTTACCTCTTATGGTTATCCTCTGAACTTAATTGTTAAGTTTACCGCTTTCCCTTACCATTACCTCTTAAGCTTTGGATTAGGATAATTTATAGCAGCTATCTACAATTGTAGGGAGTGTTTGGCCTGACTTTTTTGGAACATAAAATGCTATTTAAATTTCAAATTAAAATTAAGAGTTGCTTAAAATAGCCATTTTAAACTTGAAGATAAAAATAAGAGTTTTTATTTGGAGTTAAAGTTGTTTTGTACTTTTATACTTTTTAAAGTTCAAGGACCCGTCATGTCAACCTGATAACAGAATACGATAAGATAATTTTTTAAAAAAATT